GAGGAATGTTCGAGATGCGCAAGACGACAGGAATCAAACTTTGGATGAGCCTGACGGCGGACAGACAGACGAACGCCGGGAAGCAGCACGGGATCGAAACCAACAGTATGTGGGGCGAGCTTTCGCTCACCCTGCAGCGGACGTCACACCGTCAGCCACCCACATGATAAACTGGATTGAAGATAACCCCGTGGTAGCGTGGGGAGAGGCCACCGTGTCGGCCGCTCTCCGCCGGAATCGTCACCAGCGCGAACGGGACACCGCTAGTAGTGAAAACCGACGACGTTTTTCAGCTTCTTCAGGAGAAAAGACCTCCTCCAACACGAGGAAGGGCGCCGTCAAGGAAACGGAAGCCGACGCACACAGACGTGACGCCCCCCACAAGCGTGAACGGAAGCCAGGGTACGACGATGTCGGCGGTGATGGCACCGGCGAAAGTGGGGGGAAAGAAGCCGGGGACAGGACGCCGACGCGTTCAACCAAGCGGGATGAAAATAAAGGGGTAGATGTTTCTTCTGGGGAGGGCCTGGAGTCCGCGGAAGCGCCGGCGGCATCGACCAATGAGAGCAGGTCGTCGGTGGGAGCGCTAGCAGCAGGACCAACGCCCGCTCCTGCTGTGCTCCCGGACATTGTTGGAGCCGGGGGATTCACCGAGTTCATCCCCCTACTTGAAATTATCATCGGGAGGTAATTCCAAGACGAAACCTCGACCGAGTTCATCCCCCTACTTGAAATTATCATCGGGAGGTAATTCCAAGACGAAACCTCGACCGAGTTCATCCCCCTACTTGAAATCATCATCGGGAGGTAACTCCAAGATGAAACCTCGACCGAAGCAGATCGAGGTTTTTCTTTAAACGAACAGAAAGTCGGGTAAGAATGTCGACACTTGGTACAGTAACGCCTTGACATCAACGGTGCTGATGATAACTTGACTTGTGATCTAACGCGCACACAACCAAACCGACGCACCCGCTCTGTCCTCTTGGTATTCCATAGGGTGCCCATGAGCGCCGCATGTGCCGGGTTTCCGGCAAAAATGCGGGAAACGTCAATCAGGGTGTGTCTGGCGCATCTCGACCTGACGGCAAAAGTCGCCGTAGAAGCATACAGCGCTGCCACTGTCACTGCCAATGACACCACCTCCTCATCACGCTGCCTGAAACCTTCACCGTCGACAACAAGTATGTCCGGCCATCTTGGTAACGGCCGAAGCACCATCTCGAAGGAAGAAAAGAAGGAAGCTACGGAGGAGAACCCGGACCAGGAGCGAGACCTCACTGCCGACGCCAACAGTGGCAGCGGTGATCGCAGTGGCTGTGCGAGGGGTGCCGTCGTAAGGGCCGCGTGCCTTGCTGCCGCACAGGGGCTGATGGACCCGGCCGGTGGTCCACGCCTTGCCGGGGAGTCCTTGGCAATGTCAGCTCTCTCGCTGTGGTCTTCGCCGCCCGCGCTCGTCGACGAGGAGCATGAATTGACTTGGAACAAGGAGGAGGGTTGTGCTGCTGCTGCTGCTGCGGCCGCGGCGGCCGCGGCGGCGGCGGCGGCAGTTGATGTTGGTGCTATCGCCGAGAGGGATTATGGTACCAGTGCCGATGTCGATGCGAAAGTACCACCATTTCACGGCACGAGTGAAGGTGAAAGCGCTAAAGCAAACACCGACATATGGACCACAAGAGTTGATGATGTAAGCGTGGGTGTCACAAATTTCGGAGGCGAACGGAAACGAGAAATCCAAAGTGATTCCGCCCCAACTCGGTCAACGCGAGAGAGAACCAGCATGTGTATCGGTAGAGACGCGGCGGATGGTACGCCTCCTTCCGAAACAGCTTCATCGACGATCAACACCCTGGTGCCGCTAAGGGACCTGCGGTGGGGGGTGGAGCTTATTTTGGCATGCGTTGCACCGTACTTGGCTGACGGAATCCCGGTAGCCTGTGAAAATGTTGCAGGGAGAGCACCGATAGCATCCGAGGATGGGCACGCACACGCTCGTGGGACTGTCGGTGTCAGCAACAACAGCCATCGGCTCCGCTCTGCCTCAACTCACATGGGTGGCCGCAAACGATCTGGCTCTACCATGCTCGAACGCAAGTGCTCTCGCGGTGCCAGTCTTGGAGGCGTAGGGGCCTCTGGCGGAGACCAGTGGACCCACCACAATGCTGAAGGAGAAGAGGAAGAAGAACAACCTGGTGCGAGGTTCGACCCTGCCCCTGAGAAAGAGCGAGATGGTTCTCAGCTCGCACTCCGCTTGCTAGACTTCGCTTGCCGACATCCCGATGTCGGGCCGGCGTTGGTTTCTTCCATTCTGGCTAGTTGGATACCTTGTCTGGCGCAGTGGAGTCGCCCCAGGCCGATGACCAAAGCTACCACCTGCATCGAGGGGAGCGGGGATCGGCGAGGAATCCGACGGTCGGGTCCGTATGGTGGGGATACGAACACCATGACTGTCGCTCAATCTGTTTCGTACTCTGGCCCTCAGAAACCAAATGAGAGGTTGGACGCTAGTCTTGGCACAGCCGCTCCCGTGGGAGAGGTAGCAGCTTCGGAAGCCCTCGCATCGGGAGCCATATACATGCTGTGCTTCATGCTGCGGAGCTTCCCGCTGTTGCCGTTCAGCGATTTCTCGTCGGAGACGCTCATTGCTGTCGCGGAAGGGGGCATGGCCTTCGGGGAGTGCACCCGCTCAACCAATACTGGCACGCACGGCAGAAGAGGGGGAACTGAAACCCCGAGGTGCACGGGAACCGCGGTAGCGGCAGCTGCGAGAGCAGGCGCAGACCACCAACGTCACCATCATCGTCGTCATCGAAGGGGCCAAAGATCGTCGACGTGTGGGCGAGCACAGAAAGCAGGGGAGGCGCTGATGGTAGAGATTTTGCTTCGCGCAAGCGACTGTGGTGGCGCGAGATCGGGAGAGGGCGAACTCCTTCCCTCCCTCAACACCGCACGCGGTATCATTTTCATGCACGATACATCCTCTGCTCTTCATGCTCAATCAACAAGCCGTGCCAAGGGGGCTGCTTTCACTGGCGGCGATGGCAAAGGAAGAGGAACTTTCGTAGAGGGAGGCAACGCCGAGATTCTCCCGGGAATAATTGCAAATCGAAAACGATGTTCTTCTGACACTGCGCCAGGCAGGGGGCAGCCAATTGTCGCAGAAGTAGAAGTACGACAGCGTGTAAAGCTACCACCACCTCCGGTGCAGCCGACGCCGACGGTACCAGATTCTCACCCCTTGCCGACAAACACCGAGAAACACGACTTGAAGAAAACGGCAAAGAAGGCGACGGGTTCGCCCTTAGAGCGGGATGAAGCCGGCGACGTGAGCCACCTTGCGAGGCACGACACGACGCATGAGGTACACTCGCGTACATCGGAGTCTTCCTCTTGGTCGCGCGGGGTATCGTCATCAAGCAGCAGCTACGCGGCAGCGAGTGCCCTGTCGAAAGAAGGAAAAGGAACCTCCGTTCGAGGCCAGGGTGTTGAAGAAGACAATCTCGGTGCTTCTAGTAGCGCGCTCTCGACAGCGTCAGAAGAGCAGAGGGAAGAAAACAACACCACCCTGGATGCAACAACCGCGCTAGATTCGCAACAACAAGATGATGAGATAGTGTCCGCATCGGTGAGGATGACAAGAGTGAAGACGACGTCCAGCAACACGAAGGCCAACAGAGTATCTCCCCTTCCTAGCTTCGGGAGCAAGAACAGCAGCAGAAGCCTTAAGGACCCTAAGCGAACGGGTGGGGAACACATCTCTCCGGTTCAGAAACCGATAGCTGAGGTGGGTGTCGCTTCGGCTCAGGCAAAAGGAGATGCAGCAGTAGCAGCAGCTGCTGCAGACATAGAGCAGAAGCTAGGCGAGGCATCACGAGACGGTAAAGGCGGCAGCGGTTTTTTGTCGCGAATGTTTCGAAGGGGGAAGAAATAGGAGTGCTCTCTTTTCATTGGAGCGTGTGATGTTGTCGGGGGTTCCTCCATTTCTGCACGCATTTCCTTCGCTCCAGGAGGCATTTTTGTTGCAGAGACAAGATTTGCATTACACAGCGCTTGTGATTTTGCTCTGAAATCACCGGATGAGAAGTCATACTTTCGCCCCCAACTCAGGACAGTGCGAGATCGTGGAACTTGGTTCCAACGAGGCAAACTATGCATGATATTGACTAAGAAGCGCTCCACGGAGAGAATTTTCTGTCACGGAGCGGAATGAAGCGGTTTTTTTTTTGTTTGGAAATGTCACGTCCGGGGCTGCTCAAATAACCTGCACACAGTAATTGCTGGGGGGATTGATTAACTCCTGAAAAATCACGGGAAGCCGCGGCTTTGGCGACGGTTTATCCTCAGAGAAACCCACCGAAATTGTGTGTAGATCCGCACAGAGCGACGGTTTTTACCCGCAATTTACGTGAAACAAAACACCTTGGGTTCGGAAAATGGAAATAGGATAGGGTGCACGCGAAACCAAGTAAGCCCAAAAGGGTAATTGCTGCCCGGATGCCAATGCAAAACTAAGTATCCTACACTGATCCACCCAACTCTCTCACAATACATAAAGCAGGTGCTTGTCTACATTGCCTGAACCTTTCGTGAAACGCCTTGTAGTAGCTATTCTGGTAGTAGCTCCAGGCCGCCATAAACACGACACGCTGCAGTCCATGTACAACAGCTGAGTTCGACCACTGCTGCCTGCCGCTAGAATGGACCATCGTTGACACCGAGCTAGTCCTCTCAAACGGCAGTGAGCTGAACAAGGTCAAAAGCAGTGCCCTGCTGCGCTCGCATTCTGGCGAACCTAAACGATGTCTCTTCTGAGGCTTGTCCGCCCGGGCCAACGTGGAAAATACCAAGAAAGACCGTGTCAGCGCGACGCCTCTCTGACTTGCATCAACGACAGAAAGAGCCCCAACCAATCCTCACTTCCTCAGAGGGACAGAAATACAGCAGTCCACTCGCCACGATAGTGGTGCTGGTGGGTCTGGTGCTGCTGCCGCGGACTGTCTTCAACCCCTGCTCAGTCTTCCCCGCACGAACTTAGTAGTCCACCCCGACACATCCGACGACATTGCGGCCCACACCCTGGCGTCAATGCCGCTAGACGATCCACCCCCATTCCCCACCGGCAAAGAAACACCATCCTCACCTACCCCAACAACTCTCTCCGTTTCCTCTAAATATCCTGGGCTTGACAAGCAACACCCGCCGTTACCCTCTGCGACCTCCGTTTCCTCGCTCTCCTCTCCTGCCTCCCTTAAAAACGCCACCCGAAGTCTCCGGGTGTTTATTCCGCTGGAGCAAGCCCACATGGCCTGCTTCGCGGCCTGCCTAACGCCGACAAGCTCGAGCTCGGAACTTGCAGAGTCTCCAACATCGTTGCTCCTCGGTCCACGAGACTCGCTGATCGCTTTCCCTACCCTCGCGGCCACCGCCGTCGACCGCAAGAGCTCGTCGAGAACGCCGCTGCAGTGGAAATCCACGCCGCTCAGAATGGCATCGGCCTCTCGGATGATGGGACCGAGACGGTTGGGCGGCGTCGCCGTACTTGCAGCTGTCGACATTTTTTCTCCTCCTCCCCCTCCTCCTCCTGCTCCTCCTCCTGCTCCGCTTGACGACTTCTGCTTCATGTCTCCCGCCCGCTCTCCCGCTCTTCCAGACCCCACACCAACAACATGCGCCAAGACATGCGTGCGTAAGGCCGGCGGCATCCCGGTTCCGGCATGTGCTGCCACAAGAAAAGCCGTCCATCCGTTACCCTCCAAGGCCGAAAGCACGCTCTCATGGGCGTATCCGAACGGTTGGAGGATGTCAACAAGGTCCTCACGGTTGGCATAGCCAGCATCTTGGTCACGGGGTCTGGCCAATGGAAACGTCTTGTGGTCGAAGCGTGGCGGGCTGGGTGGTTGACGCTGCGATGTGACGGGTGTTTTGTCTGTGGAACCGCTTCCTTTTGCCAATACCGTACCTTCCCCTGAAGTAGAGGCTTTCTCGCCCTCGAGGAAAGAGGAGTTGCTGCCGCCGGTACTTCCATCGACAGAGCCAGTCGTGGCGGCAGCAGCAGCAGCAAGGGAAAATGAAGGATGAACCGTACCGCGGCAGCAGCAGTAATAGCTGTGTCCACAGCGCTCTCCCCAGGCCAGGCATACCCCCTTCAGGAGCGTTTGGTCGCATGACATGCCCCCGTAGGACACGCGCATGAGCAACGCGCGCCGGATGTTTGCGACAGCGATGGCAGCGTTTGTTGTTGTTGTTGCTGCTGCTGCTGCTACTGCTACTGCTGGCGCCTTGGTGTTGCTCCCACGAACATGAACGTGAGCACCTTGACTAGCAGGAACCAGCAGACTTTTAGGGTGCGGTACCGGGAACTCGTCAGCGTCAAAGAGTTTTGTTTCGACCGGCAGCTGCTGTCGTTCCGGGACTTGATCGGTCGTGGTCGCTGATGAGATGGAAAACCCCGCTTCGCGGTGGTGTCCGTTGCCCACGCACGTGCTGCTGCTATCCCCACGGCGGCGACGGCAAGAGGAATCGGTTGAATCTCGCACGGGGCAGGCCGCCGTCTCGTGTACCACGCAGAGAAATGCCTCCAGCAGTCGAAGCGGTGGGCGGTAGCCTTTGGATGTGGCGACCATGAGCCAGGTGAGGAGCGGCGCGGCGGGGTGCAGCAGAGAGTCCTCCACGATAATCACCAGCACGCTAAAAAACAGCATGAAAAAACGATGGGACAAACATGGGCACTCCAATTATGTACTCAGAGAAACGCGATGCTGAAAAAGAGGACGGGGCGGCGGAGAGGAAGCTGATATGTGTCTGTGTCGTACATGCGAAATACTCCCTAGCACAAAAGATAGTCCTTGCTCATGATGTTACAAGTTCTTCGATAATCGTGTATCGGAAGTCGCGAATTCGACTCCGTCCTCCGCAAACCTACTAAAAGGTCGGCTTCAACACGCCACTACCCGCATTCCTTCGCCTCGAAGACAACCTGAACACAGCTCTTACCGGCGAATGGCGTCACTCCAGCTCTTGAGCGCCAGCTCCAACGCACATCGTACAGCCGCCTCCGCTCTCCCACGCCTGATGTTCTTCTGCAGCATGGACTTGACAACCGCTACCGGCAACCGAGACAGGCTTTGGGCTGGCCGCGCGGCCTTCAAACCCTGCCGTGACACGATGCCGGAGAGGTCATCCAAAGCGCGGCGGGGGCGAAAAGGACGGAAATTTTTGAACGGACGAGGTGGGGGGTGATGCCAGTATCGCAATCGGGCAGTGGTGCCCAAAACAGGCAAATGAGGGCAAGTCGCCGCATCACGCAGTCACTGGCCCGCGGTCAGCAGTAGTGTGCCTCAAACTCCTCATCAGTAAACAGGAACTTGTGCTATCGTACTGTTGACCAGTATCGACCAGAATCAGACATGACCATGAAGGAATCGCGGATAGGGTTGTAAAGGGATAACTGTGTCGCTGTGTATGGCCCCAGGAAAGGTGCTACATGTATTTGAAAAGCAGACATCCGCATGGTACACCCGAACACATGCTCCCGCCATTTCTAACCACAACGTAGGATGGTCATGTTCAATCGCACCGCACGACAAACGGCGACGTCGACACATATTTCCCATATGCTCCCCCATCCCGGCGTGCGACTCGCCGAATACCTCACGGCGCTTCGCGCTCGGTGATGTGCTCGCCTGGTCCGGTGAAAACCCGGCGTGCTCCGTCCCGGCTTTGTGGGGATGCAGGGTCAATATTTCATATTTCTAACGACTACGGCATGCACGGCTACGAGTACCCCCCCCCCCCCCTCCGCCAGCCTCACCGCATTGTCGTCGCCGCCGGTTGGAGTGACCCCCCTCGTCACCCTGTCGCCGCCACGCCCCACGGCCGGCAACACGGGGTCAGTAACGGAGTCGGCGGGGGCGAGATTTGTCCAGATATCGCACGTGCCCGCTTTTCGGCCGTCTGGTCCCTTTGTGGCCACCTGGCAGCGCCACCTAGTGCTGGCGGTGTCGCCGTGTGCAGGGATTGGAGGGAGAGGGTTCCCGGCGGGCCCCCAGCCCCAGGATAGCGTACCGTCCTGGTGTGCCAAGAGGTACATCTCTTCCCGGAAGTTGGTGAGGGCGGAAGCGGCCATAAGTGTCGCGAACGCGTCGTTTTTTCGGTCCGTGGCGTTGTCACCGGCTTCCGCGCTGCTGCAACTGGTGGTCTTCCTCCTCTCTCGGCTTCGCCGCCCGTTGCCGGTGACATCGTCGCCGTTGCTTGTGCTCGGCGGTGGTGGCTCTGCTGCTCCTGACTTCTCTCCTCTGCTGTCCCCTATGCTGCCGCATTTCGCATCATCAGGTTCGGCCACTGCTTCCACCACCGGGATGGGAGAAACCCTTTCCGCCGATGATCGCCCCCTTTTAACCAGGCTGGCAGCAACACAGGCGTCAGCTTTTCCGCCCGCCTCTTGGTGTGGGGAGGAGACTACATGTACTAGGGTGCTCGCGGGGGCAGAGGCGGCAGCCGGTGGCACTTGCTTGGCGGCAGATGAAATTGCTTCCTCCCCGCTTCCTGGGCACCGCTCCACATGCGTCTGGGCCAGAGAGGAGTGCACTGATTTCCCGCAGAGAGGACACTCCACGAAACGAGACCCTGACGGCGATGCCGCTGATGGCGACGGTGATGATCGGGGACGCTTGGCTGAAGACTGAACATGTTTCGATCGTGTGCTGTTGAAGCCCTGTTTCTTTTTACTGGCCGCTTGAGGTTGGGAGAACAACGATGCGAAAGCGTTGCGCTCCATAGGTGGTGCAGCAAGAGAAGAAGAGTGCGGAGGTGTTTGTCCTCTGTCACAGACACAAGCACACCACGGTGATACTTGGTGTGACTTCAGGTCCTTATCGGTGGCACGTCGTGAAATGCGGCACAACTGGCTCTCGCACGACAATTTCAACAATTTCAATAATCGGGGGGTCGGGGGTTGGGAAGAGGTAGGTAGGGGCACACCCGAAGGGAACCTTTTTGTCATGTTACGCACGGCAGGATCCTATCTTGTTATCTTGTTCCTCTACTGTCTCGGTGGTGTCTCTGTTGCTGTTGCCCTCACGTTAGGAACTAAACTAAGTGGTTGCACCCCTACACCCAGGATAAGGTACTGAAGGAGACTCTAGCTTGACACCGGACGTCGTAATTTTCCTAGAGCACATACAACAGGGGATCTCTCATGATCACCCACCTCTTCTTCGAGGGGATAGGTGTAAATTTTGTCGGCGAAGCAATCTAATGTGTACGTAGCTTCAAACAAAAAGTATTTCTATGTGTGTATTTATTATTCCTTAATTCAAACAAAAGTCACAAATAGTCTATGTACCCAGGCATTTCACCGAATCAACCGGCAGAGAGATGCGGCGGAATCAAAGTTTGGCGGTGTCGCTGCGTCTGCCCTCTCACAGCAGTTCGACCAGGGCCCTGGTGTGTGGGCACCTTTCCCCGAGCATTTTTGGATATGCAATACATCCAAGAAAACTCTAACCTCAATGTTAGCCTCTGCTTGTGCCACGATTTGGCGCAGAAGCAGTTGCTCACGCTGAGACACGAATATACCAGCAGCGCGATCAGCCCGGATCTGTTTTAGATACAGCCCAATGGATCTGGAAATCTGGACTTCTCGGCCATCCATAAGCAATGCACTCTCTATTCATGATTCACATTGCCTGTTGTACACGACTAGTGGCTACCGTGCTGACTCGAAACGCGACCTACATGCAGCTGCTCCTAGAGATGTGGCTGGGCGTTTACCAAACACAAGGCGCACCACACGGGGCGGGGGCGTATGTCTCGTTGAATATGTAGTGCTGTAGTGTACAAGGTCATTTTCACGTTCTATGTTGCGAGGCGGGCGCGGCAATGGGGATGATGAGCTGGATGGAGGTTGCTGGCGTGAGAGGGGGAATTGTGAATGCGTGTTCGCAAGAGGATCTTGGATTATTTGTTTTTGTTCGTGGCGTCAACCCGAGCATGACGGTCATAGGTCGATCACCGTCTGCACGGCTTGATGTCATGAACAAAGAAAAGACCCATACCATCAATCAATGGTTATTTTGAAGTGGTGCCCGTTTGTTGGGGAGTTGGCCTGTGACCACGGAAGGCATCTGCGTCATTTGGCCGGACAACAGGGTAGTTTTTCGAATATGCAAAACGGCGTGATACTGGCACGGTTCGCATGCAACATGAAACTTCGATTGAGCCGCCGGCGGAATCTACGGGTCGGAATCGTTTGCACGCAGTACTCGGGTTGAAGTGCCGGAGGGGCACCTTAGGAATCTGCGTGATTTTTCTCAGGTCTAGCGATGGTAAGTCGTTCAAGGAGGATCTGCACTTGCACATACATCTCGACAGGGACATCAGAAGGACCTGGGAAGCGCTATTTTGATGGTCGAGGCGTGAGTTTGATGGAAAGGACAATGTTGAAATACAGCGCATTACTGCTGTAGGATGTGCGTAGTAGATTCAGCTGTCTGATTGCTGTTTGCAATGATACGTAGATAGATGCGGTGTGATATGTAACGTTTGGTAAGACGTAACATGTGTGACGAGTTCTAGCGAGGAGCTCACGAATGAAATCATGGTTGAGCAGAGGATTGTAATTGTAGCGAGATCACGAGGTGTTGCGAGCCCCACCGGGTTCACTCCCCAACTATCCCTCAACATCTCACCTCTGCAAGTACGCTGAAGAAGAAAGAAAGTATAAGTCCCAAAAGCGGCATCTAGAAACAACATCGACTTCGGTCACTGTCTCAACAGACTTCGGTCTGTACATCACACAGACTACTGTCTGGAACTGCACATAGCCTTAACCGCCTGCAGACACGATCCTTGGGTACAGGGCACCTCGACACGACACATTTCTACAGACAACGAGGCTACACCTGTCCTCCAAGCCAAACCCTGTACCTCCGCTGCGGTGAGCGCAGCACATGACTCGAATTTAACATGGCACGTGTAGTTGCTGCCGGGTAGCCTCGACTCCGAGTCTTCTCTAGCAGTAAAAACTTATCAGTACCTCGTTGCGTGCTTGGCATCGCGGTGAGTGGTTCGTGAATAGCACTCTATCGAACGCGCTCAAACAATTCCTTCCCCCGACTGGTCTATACCATGACATGCAAACCAACCATCAAAATCATGAGTTTTCGATCATACTCCTTATTTGACTACGAACATTCTCTGGGACGCTTGGCTCCGAGTCTTCCCCCGGTTCGTTCGCGTCCACGTCCATGGTATCTCGTTTTGCGCCTCGCTTGAGCAATAACGCGCAAGTTTCTTTCTGCCCATGTCGCGCCGCTTCGTGCAGTGGCGTACGCTGTGGGGGGGGGGGGGGGTAGTAGCAATACAGGACACGTGGTCGACGAAAGCTGCGAAGAACTGCAGGCTGGATTCATTCCCAGGTAAAATCCCAAATGTAACCTCTGAAACGCTGGCAAGAGTAGAACGACCGTTGCGCTTGACGAACACGAAGAGCTTAGAAAGGCTGACAGGTTTGGCGGAACCAAAAGAAATGAGGCCGGAGTCCTACCAGTGTCCTACCGAGGCTCTGATCACGCCAGCAAGGCAAGTAATATTCTCTTGCCACGCCTGCCTGTACTGTGCAAAGCACCGAAGTGGGATTATCTGGCTCATCACCTCTTTCGTGTCTTGCGCATTGATGTGCGCCCCCTTGGAAAGCAGGAGGGTGATCATCTCCCCGTGTCCCCCTTTGCACGCCCAAAACAAGGGCGTTTGCCCAGTCCCGTCTCGTGCCTGCGTCATCATCCCATTATGCCATCATGCCACGATGTATGTCATGTTATCGTGTCATCATGGTATCATGTCCGCCATGTCATCATGTCATGCCATTATGCCATCATGTCATCATGTCATCATGTCATCATGTCATTACGTCATCATGCCACCATACAAACTTGTCGCGACAAAGCAGGTCAGAGTGATTCCTATATGCAAGCCCCTTCAAGCAGAGCTCGAACACGAAGCAGATTAGTTTTGTTGGTCCGCTCGGAACTGTCGCACAACGGTTAGGTCTGTTCAGGACGCGTGGTGGTGAAGGGAAGATCACAGCGAGAGGATGGCTCGTTGGGATGAAGATGAACGGCGCACTCCTGTACAGCAGTGCCGATGCTTGTGCGTAAGGCGGAAAGGCAGTCACAACACAACGTTCGAAGTTACCTCAATATCAGCCCCCTTTTCTAGCAGCAGACTGGCAATGTCTTGGTGGTTGTACGCCGCAGCCCGGTGCAGAGGGATGGTCCGATACCTGGCGGGGAGCAACAACACAGCATGACACGAATAAAAAGAGGACAGCAAGAATACATCGGGGGCGGTGATTTCCCTGCGACATGACGTGAAGCCTTTGAGCATAGTAACGACGTGGGGACCTGGAATCCAGAGCATCTCCCGCAGCCACTGTTCCCTTCCAGCCTTGCCCTCCGTGCGCACACGATGGTTGGTGTGCCAAATACCGGCTCTGAGGCACGAGCTAAGGAGCCACACGCACACATCACAACCTTTAGAAGGGTCTTATGTTGCTGAATAGCAGCCGCACTGAGACATATCAGGTCTTCCTTGGAAAGCCGGTAGCGCGGGCGATGCCACCAATACATACTTAACGCACACAAAATGCTGGATGATATTTTTCGCTATCTTTTCGTGCTTTTGCGCACAAAAGCCAACATCAACAAAAGGGTGCCATTGAGGGCGGTACGCGAAACCAGGCGTGACCTGTTAGAACGAACTCCGAGAGGCTGCCAAACGTACAAGTACAAAGACACCCCGGCCCTCCCTCAAAAACGTTTCCTTTGGATGGACCTTTCAAGTTTTCACGAAACCCCCGCCTTCGAACAAGTCTAGAAGCAGTAAGAGTCCCCAGGAACCCCTCGCCCCTTGAAGCGTAGGTAAATCCTTTTTTTGGAAATAAAAATACTACCCGTTCGACATATAACCACACACACGTCCAAGTCTTCTTGTAGAGCTTTGCGCCCACGTTGCCGCCTGTTGCCCTTTGACGGCAGAGGAAATTACACTATCCCAATTTTTCAGCAGTGTACACGTTGTTGGTCGCAAGCTGCATAGAAACAACTTGGTAAGTCTTACCCATGTCAGCCCAATCGCATGGTGTCGCAGTTGCAAAGTGGGGCGTGAGATGGACGACAGTCTTGTGGCCTAAAGAGAGTGTGGCGCATCGATCCCAAGACAACAGCAGAAGCAGACATGTACTGCTGTAAGGAGCTCACCTCCGCTGTTGCCATGTTGTGGACAAACACACCTTGTTCCTTTCCATTGGTGTTAGCGATAGAGTCAAAGGTTGACGACCAGTGGTAGCACACACTCGCAGCATGTAGGTGCATAGGGATCACAGTAGCTACATGGCAACAGCCCTCTCTAAATGCCCTGCCTGCTACTTCCGCTGTAGACTATTTACATGCTGCTCTTCGGCGTCGAACAGAGAGACGACCACAAGTGCCATGTGCCAAACAGCAAATTACCTGCAACGAACGTTGACATCGCCCCCTTCCTCCAAAAACTCGAGGACTTTCGCCATGTCTCCCTCTTTCACCGACGTATGGATATCCACGCTCAGAGGCTTGGGTGGGGCAGCCATGATGATGCCGTCGTGAAGGTATGGCTGTTGACAGCTATGGCCCAGAGCCAGCGCGCCGGGGCGGGGGGTGCGGGGGGATTAACGTGGAAACACGGAGCCTCTTTGACCCCACCCTCCCGTCCTTTCCAAAATTAGTGCTCATGCGGAGCACCACCAGTTCGAGTTGAGCTCTCGAAAGCAGCAGATGCCCAGCCAGAGATAGCGAAATAGGAGAGTTTAGATCAAAACCGTTCGCGCACACGGTAGTCGCGCGCGTGGGCTGCGTCTGATCCAGCAGAGATCGAGGCGATGAGTGCGCCTGCAGCAGATGACGAGGTGGGGGTGACGTCGACCGCATCCTCTCCTAACGACGTGGCTACGACGCCTTCCAAGCCAGGGCGCGCGAAGAGCGGGGTCGGGAAGGGCAAGCAGGATCGCGAGGCTAGCGACAAGGAGGAAGCGGAGGGAGCGTCGAGCAGTACCGAGAGCGAGAGCTCCGATGACGGTGGATCGAGCGACGGGGGAGGGGTGAGAGGAAGATTTCAGCCGTGTTGTTTTTTTCCCCCTTCCCTCTCCGTTTTTTTTGGGGGAAATCGAGTTTTTGTGCGGCTGTTGTCTGGAGGGCGGACGGGTGTCGTTTGGGTGGGTTTTGGGATGGACGATGATTGTCCTTGTGTTGGCCCTTCAGAGTGGATCCTTCGCGAGCCAGGACGAAGGGGCGCATCTGCAAGCCTTTCGCAATAGCCGCGAGCGTCAGCCATCGGTGCTCGCTTTTGGCGTTGGGAAAAATCATCGACGGAGAGAGCTGAAATCGTCACCTGTTTTTTGTCAGAAATCGTAAGACAGAAATCCGTTCGATGAATGTTCCAACATGGTCGTGTGAAAGTCGTGCTGTATCCAATATCCAAGTACTGGTATGTCCGATGAGGCTGGCAAGGTCTGTGCGTGTCGGGGAGCGTAACCAATGATTTGCGATGGCATGCCCTTAAGCGCGGCATTGGTTCGGTGCCTTCCTCCTGACTACTACTGTGTACAGCCTTGCTGTTGGTCAAAAGATAACCGGGGCAGTGGGTGACGCGTTTTACATTTTTTTTTATCTCTATTATGTACCGTAGATGATTAGACACAACACCTTTTGACCGGTTTTGGAGCTCGATCACTCTGCGAGGGAAAATCTCGCGAGGGGTTGATACCCTCGCGTCGGGAGGCTTCTGAATACGTAGCATTTGATTATGACATCCTCTTCGTTGTGGAGAAATCGGACCTTTGATAGTCGTTCCAGGGGTGTGATATCTTACATCATGCAACCTACGGTAACCGTCCGCTTGCTTCGTTCGGATTTACGGTACCAACGTGGAGCCCCGGTGGTAAGCTGAAGATCTGCGACCCGGGGTCAAACAGTAGGATTGCTCTGCAGCATGTGCCCTTATTTGCTTGCTGCAACATGCTGGAAGAAAAACAAATATTAGAGCTCTCGACCTACATACCAGCCGCTATTTGTAGGGTGCCGAGATTCCGCACTTCTACGGCAGCAATCTTTGTGCCCCCAGTACGTCGGACTACCGGGGGGCGCTCACGGCTACGACCGCACAGTAGCAGTGAATGGCGTGATATGGATGCTGAAATTTATTTACGTGTCTGGTGCCGTACCAGGAGAATGATGGAGAAGAGGATGAAGGAACCAGCAACGGGACCGCGAACGGAGTAGTAGCCAAAGAGGAAACGAGTAAGAACGAGGACGACGAGGAGGAGGAGGAAGCGGGGAGCGGCGATGATGATGATGATGGCGATGACGGCGAAGACAAGGAGGAGGAGGAAGAAGAAGAAGAAGAGAAGGAACAAAAGCACCGCCGAGCCAAGAAGGACCGTAAGAGGGACGGCGGCAGCAGCAGCAGGAAGAGGAGCAGCAGCGACCGACACCGCCGGGGCAGCAGCGGGAGGGACAGGGACCGAGACCGAGAGCGGGGCTCCAGCAGGAGGGACAGGGAGAGGGAGTCGTCCTCGAGGAGGGACAGGGAGAAGGACAAGGACAAGGACAGGAAGAGCAGCAGGAGGAGGACCAGGTCGAAGTCCAGGTCCCATTCCTCTTCTCGCCGCCACAGGGACAGGGACAGGGACAGGAAGAGGTCAGGCAGAGACAGCAGTGGCCGCGACAGGTGATTTTGTGATTTTTCCCGCCGCCCTTACTGTTGTCTCCCCATTTTTTTGTCCTTCACTACTTGGAGAGCAGGCCAGGATTGTGATGCACTGTTGGTAGTAGGAGTGCACAGTCCGTCCACCCGGAGACTACGGCAGGTGAACGCCTCATTCGCGCTAGTGTCTTGCTTGTACAGCAGTACAAGAAAGAGGCACTTTTGGACCCCCCCTCTACTGCTGTGTCTACGGGTGCTTTGTTCAGGTTCTGAGATGCCAGGTCCTCACCCCTTACCCCCCCCCCCCCCTTTGCCCCGTGCGCGCTTGGTTGCTGTTGATGACCGCCGCAGAGATCGGGAGAAAGCCGGGTCTCGAGACAGGGAAAGGGATCGCGATGGCAGGGGGGGCGGGAAGGACCGAAGGGACCGCGACAGGGACAGGGACGGGGACCGTCATCGCAGCAGCAAGAAGCGCGATTCTGAGAGGTAAGGTGTACACACTGCGTTGCTTGCTGTTGTTGTTGATGTTGTGGCGGTTGTTCGCATTAGGGACCTGGATCGGAGCAGCAAGGGAGCGCGATGGTGTTCCGAGGTACAATGTACTACTGCGGCACTATTGTGAAATACCTGGCTCAGGCACGAACTGTATTGGAAGTACACATCACTCTGCTTTGGAAGGAAGCATACACATCGACGAGTAGAGAAAGCAAGCCGTTTGTATGTCTGCATCACGAGCATGTGCCCTTTCGTGCGCCCCGCGACAGAGTTAGAACTAGATATGTAGTCCCTGTACACCTGTGGCTTCTTGTGTGCCCAGAAACAGCCAGAAACAGAGCTACAGCAGTAGATTGAAGTACGGGTGGCATCTCACACAGTTCATCGCTGGTTATGGCGACGGGTGCTTCGAGGTGTATCTTCTACCTCATCATTTCGTCAGCCCCGTCCCAAAGTACAGCATCTACGACCTGGGTTTGTGAATGATGATGCAAGCGCTGTCCGATCCCAATGCCATCCCATCATTTCGTTGTTCAAAATTTCGGATGCGAGCCGACAGCTCGTTGTTTTGTTGTTTAGTCAAGATTTTTCCTCGCGAATTAAATTTGTCGAAACGGTGGTTGCCTGGCAGGTCGTCGGGAGACAAAGATCGTGATGATCGGGATCGTAGAGACAGGGATCGCAGAGACGGGGATCGCAGGGACAGAGATCGCAAAGAGGGTAGCAGGGGAGGAGGGGGAGACGACGCTCGCCGCGGAAGCTCCCGTAGCGACAGGGACAGGCACAAACGTTCGAAGGAGGAGGAAGGGGAGGATGAAGAGGAGAGGAGTTCGGCCAAGAAAAAGAGTAGGACGGAGAAGGGGGTGGAGCAGAGCGAGAACGACGACAAGGACTCAGACGGAGAAAAAGAAGGGAGTTCCAAGAAAGAGGACGGCGTTTCGTCTGAGGAGGAAGAGGACGGTCGCGAGAACGGCGACGGCAGCGCTGCTGCTGCAGCTGCTGCTGCTGCTCAAGAAGACGATGTGGAAGGGGGCAGTGACGATGATGCTGCCGCTGCTGATGTTGCTACCGCTGACGATGCTGCCCATGTGCCAGGTGATATCTCTAAGGGGGAGAACGGAGGCGTGGCAGCAGCGGAGGTACCCGCGGAAGGCGATGCAGAAGAAGGGTCGTCGTCGTCATCGTCATCAGAGGACGAGGAGGAAGAAAAGGAGGAAGCCGAAGAAGAGGACAACGAAAGCGAAAAGAAGAAGAGCAGCAACAGCACCCGCCGTGAGAAAGAAGGCGGCGGCGGCGGCGGCAGCAGCAGCAGGCGCTCTGGCGACAAGGAGAGGGAAAAGGAAAGCAGCAGCAGGAGGAGGGACAAAGACCGCACCAGCGATAGAGACAAGGACAAGGACAGGGACAGGGACAGGGAGTCCTCGCGGAGGAGACGCAGCTCCCCAGGCCGGCGCAGGTCCCGCTCCCCGGCGGGACACCGCCGAGAAAGCGGCAGGAGCAGCAGGAGGGAGAGCTCCAGGGACAGGGACAGGGACAGGGATGGAAGACGCCGCTCGGGCGGAGACAGGGACAGGGACAGAGGAAGGGACCGAGACCGAGAGAGGTATGTAGCTGTTATAGCTGGTGCCGTGGCTACGTGTTGTTGGTGTGGGTGTAGCAGCTCGGAAGCTACACCGTTTTTTTGGCTGGTGCCGTGGCTTCGTGTTGTTGGTATGGAAGTAGCAGCTCGGAAGCTACACCGTTTTATTTGGTGCGTGGAGAGTGTCTGTTACTGCTGTAGATGTTGGTGTTGTCGTCTGCGGAAGGGTATCGTTGTCGTCGTTGTTGAAATTTTCTGGGGCTGTCCCTACTACACTACAATACCCGTCAAGCGTTTTTCATTGTGCACGTTTTTTGTTAGTTGAAGACTGGTCTTGTTGCGTCCTGTTCCTGTTCGGCAGGGATAGGGACAGCAAGCGGCGACGGTCGTCCAGGGAGCGTTCCAGGAGCCGGTCCCGCGGCGGTGGCAGCGGTGGTCGGAAGAGGCACGATCGAGACGAGCGGCGGTCGCGATCCCGAAGCCGCAGCCGTCGCCGTAGAGCGCGCGAGGCCGAAGACGAGGAAGACAGGTGTGGTAGTATACTGCTGGTGGTACTGGTGTTTTGGTGGTGGTGTTGTGGGTGGTGTTACTGAAGTGTTGTTGTTGCTGGTGGTGGTCATCGTTGTCGTTTTTGTTGTGTCTGGGGGTTGTTGCTGGTGAAGACGGGGGGGTCGACGGTTGCCTGATGGGCGGCGGTTGGGTTGCAATGCTGTGATGGTTGCTCATGTTGCCTTCGCCACGCCCCGGAAATTCACGCGTGCAATCATTTTTAGACTCCTGCTCAGCTCGTCATGAGTTTGTTGTGCCTGTAAAGGTAAGGTTGACGGCTCACATTGGCAGCCCATGATGTAAGAAACGTCCAAGACAAGCGAATCGCCTGAATAAGCTAAAGAGAGAAGTACAGTAGACACGAGACCCTGCTAAACCGCAACACATGGACGTATCAACAGGAGCACCAAGCACCTCGTTTTCCTGCACCCCTCTTTCCCACTCTCTCCGCTCCTGCCTCCCTCTCCAACGACAACAGGAAGCAGAGGGAGAAGAAGGAGGCTTCGAAGAAGGCGAAGGCCGAAGTCCCCGCCATCACTTTAGAGTTCGTCATCCGCGAGAACCCTGGCATCAGCATCCCCGACGCGTTCCAGAAGCTCGAGGTACTCCGGGCCCAGGAAGAGCAGAAGAAGGCGGGGGGTTCCACCGCCGCAGCGGCCGCGGCTTTGGCGGCAGGAGCGCCGACAGCGGCTACGGCAGCGGCGGGCGGCCCTACGGCGGCGGTGGGTGTCGGTGCGGCAGCGGCGGCGGCAAGCGCGGCTGGGGCAGGGGCTGAGGTGAGCGAGCGGCGGCTTCTGTTGGATGGATGTCAAGCTGGGGCGGGTGGTGTGTTGATGATGCGGTTTGCTGTGCTGTGTCGGCTGTAGTCCTGTTGCCCGTTTTTTCTATTGTAGGGGGCGACGGTGGGGGAGGGCTGCTTGTGGTGGCGATGTTAAGAGGGAGGCTATGGTCTTGAAAGGTGTGGCGTTGATTTTTGGTGCTTGTGCTGTTTTGATGGTGACAAAGCAGCGCTGACTTTCTGCTGTTTGGAAACGATCAATTATGTTGGCCATGGCGCACTCGACCAATACCTCTCCTGTTCCCATTTCCTTTTCTTTCTCCAACCCCATTCCAGTCGGCCATCGCTTCCAGCGCCATGGCTCACGTGTCGGCCGCCCTGGCGTACCCGGGAGGAGTGGCGGGCTTGCCAGGTATGGCAGGCGCTGGAGCCACGGGTGCACTGGCTGCGGCGGCGGCGGCAGCAGCGGCGCCCTCCTCGGCAGCTCTAGCGGCCAACAAGGTCATGCGGGAGCTGCACGTGGGCGGTCTGCCTCATGGGGTATCGGGGGTTCAGCTGCAGGTGCGTGATTGGGGTGGGGGGTGGGAGGGGTGGAGGGGGGGGTCCCGCACTGATGACCATCTTGTCGCACAAGCAATTGGTGGAACCCCGTACATATGTGTCACAGGAGATAGGACAGCATTTAGCTGTGACGACCAACAATGCAATGAAGGGTGTTAGTATCTTGCGTGTAACGGGGCGTCCTCTGCAGGGATGAAATTTGTGGACGATGCCTGATTTGTTGGCGGCCGTTGGTAACCCGGGTGTGGAAGTCCCGAGTGTTTTTTGCGCTTGGCATGGCTTATACTGTGAACATGCATAGGATCAATCGGCACACAGGACCTTCCCCAGCAGCTATTTTCAACCCGCTCAGATGGATGACATGTCCTGGTGCTGAAGATTAACCCCCCCCCCCCCCCCGTCCGTCGACCCGGACTCGAAAACTGTCTCTTGTCTGTTGATTCCCCCAGGACTTTTTGAACGCAGCCATGCAATACCTCAAGATTGCCACAAGCGCGGGCAATCCGGTGATAAGGATAGCCATGGGACCAGACGGGACTAACTTCGCCTTCATCGAGCTTCGCACGGAGGAGGCAAGTCCGTTCTTGTTATTTTTCTTAACCATTACACGACGTATCACAAAACGAACCCATGTCTTCCTACAGATTTAAGAGTCCAGGATACATCATTTTGGCAATGAATCCATAGCGTTAACAGAGGCAATACTGTACCCGTGATATACCGCCTTTTTTTTTATTTATTCTCCTCCCACGAGCCTGCGTACTTTTCGTTTTTGGTCTGCCGTGGTTGATTACCGTTACAGCGTGTCCAATGTTTTTGAGAAACTGTTTCCCCAAGATAGACATGACGGAGGAAGAGTATGTGCTTTGTGTCATGCCAAAACTCTAGCCGCGCATTTGTGCGCTACTGCTGTAGTGCTTCTGCGTTGTCCACGTCTGGTGTGTGTAGGTCATTCTCATGTTCGCCTGATACACAGCAGTACTCTTCCGCTGACCGCTGAGCCACAAGCTGGAATGTACTTTAACGTCTGTTTTCATCGACTGATGCACGCACTCTCTTTTTTGTGTTTCTGCCCCGAGCAGGAGACTAACGCCACTTTGGGACGAATGTCAGGCATCCAGTGCGGTACGGGTCACCTTAAATTCGGCCGACCCAAGGCGCATGCGGCGGTAAGAGAGGCTAATTGTCATCGTCATTGTCGTTGTGCCCTCCTCCGATACTTGTATCAGCTAACTAGTATGCTACTGGTATGGTATTTTATGTTCGTGATGATCTTGGTGGTATATGGACCCACCCACCCCGCCCGCCGCCGCTCCCTTTAAGGTTTAGCCCAAGATACCCACTCGCTGCGGTGAAATGGGTGCGTCTGTCGTCGAAGCAGTGGTTGAATCGACGCTGCACGTGTCGTAGGTAAATGCGTTGGCGTTGCTTCAATTCTTGGACGACATCTCTTGTCGCTGAAGCTGCTCGGATGGAAATTGGCGGTGGTGTTCCTTTTCATCTGCCAATGGGCCGCCTTCTCTGATAAAGTATCACATCGCCAGTGTCGATAAACACACCCCACCTTTTGACACCATACCACGCAACGCACACACCACACAAGCAGTCTCGTCTCTTATCCTACAGCAGTACCACGTCTTTCTTACCACATCAACCAAACCGGGCTAGCGCTATTACAGCAGTATGTCACTCGTCTTTATTCTATTGCAACTCCAGCTCAACCCCTCCTGTCTCGCGATCATAGCTCGTAGTGCAGCTAAATCGTTCTGACCCTTGAGCCCCCTCCCCCCCCCGATCCCACCGCACCGCACCGCACCCTCCCGTTGTTGTTGTTGTGTTGTTGTTGTTGACAATCGGTGCCAACGTAACGAACTTGGGGGAAAAACAAAACAATTCAACGAAAACAAAATACAAACAGACCTTCCCTATAGTCACACCCCAGCCATTTCCCGCAGCCACCCTCGCGGGAGCTTCCGCTTACGCTACGGCCATCGCTGTCGGGGGACCAACGGCAGAAGAGGCGGCGCAATCGGCGGCGGCGGCTGCGGAGCAGGCAGTGGCGGCAGCGGGCTTCCAAGCTTTGACAGGCAAGGGCTTGATGCTGTTGTCGTTGTTGCACATCAAATTAGTCCGAACTTTGAGCTATAGGTAGCGTTGTGACACAAGCGAAACATGGATCGATCGATCCATAACAGAAGGAGTGAGAACGAAGAAACGCATAGAATAGAAAACAATCAACCGGGAGCATGTTGGGGATCTGTTGTGGTGTGTTGTGGTGTGTTTTGTTGTGTTGTGCAGGAGTGGCGCTGCCTGGAGGCGTCGGCGGAGACCCGTCAGCAGCGGCGCGGGCGGCGGCGGCGGTGGCGACGGCGGGGATTGTTGGCGGGGGCGGCGGGCCCGGAGCGGCGGCGGCAGCAGCAGCTGCAGCAGCAGCCGTGGGAGCGTCGGTGTGTTTCGTTTCTTTTCACTTGTTTTGGTTTGTTCGGGTTTTGTTGGTCACTTGAAACCAGTGTTGACAGCATTTCTTAGACCCCGTTTGTTCTTGCCGTGTAGATACGGTAAGTTAGTGTGGGATGGAGCATTCAGTGGCATCACTTCCGGAGGCTGGTGAATCCCCCGCTTTCCATAAGTAACGCCAAACACTCTTTCAAGTCCTGATTTGAAGGTTTTGGGGAAATCGATCAGATTGGTTATTCTCAGGAGGTTAGGAGGAACAAAATGGGTAGGACGTACTGGTTGCCTTGTCTTGTTGACCTATGTAAAGCGAAGGCTCACTGCCGTTGTCGTTTTTGTTGTTGTTGTCGTCGATGCTAGAGGTGGTGGTGGTTGTGGTTGAGTGATGTCGTCACGAGACCTCTCCGCACGCAAAACACAACAACCACGCAATCTTGAGAAATGAAACGATGAACATGTGAATGTGCATGCGGACGGTGACAGGGTGCGACTGCCGTGGCACCTAAGAAGGAGGAGAGCAGCGTCCTCATGGTCATGAACCTGCCCGATTCGCTCACGGACGATCACGTGAGGGAGCTGCTCAGCCCCTTCGGAGAGCTCAAGAAGTTCAACCTTCTCAAGGTGAGAGGGCGTGGCGTCACACAGAAGGCCGCGGCGTTTTGCAATAACACGCTGAAAGGAATGTCGGTTCCGTCGTTCTCAGAAGTTAATCTGATGTGTATGTTTAACCTTCTCGAGGTAAGAGGGCATAGGAGAGCGGACGGACCGGGAACACTCGAACGTAAAGTTGCTTCTTCTGTCTTTGCTGAGGTTCATCTGATGTGTGTGTTCAACCTTCTCGAGGTAAGAGGGCGTGGCGTCATTGAGAGCGGCGGCGTGGGATTGCGCTGAAAGAAATGTTAATGTTGTTCCGTCTTTCGGAGTTTGTGTGATTTGTGTGTTGAACCTTCTCGAAGGAAGAGGGCGTGTAGTAGAGCGGCGGCGTTGGAATACGTTGGAACACAAAGCTGATTGTGCTGTCTTTTATGGGTGGATGTGTGCGTTGGACGGGTCTTGTAATGATACTGCTGTACGGTCTCAAACCTGTGCGGGAAAAGGCGGGGTCGTGTTTGTCGAACGTTTGTCAGGCTTGTTTTCGTTTTGTGCTTGTTGACTGCTTGGTGTAGGCCTTTGTTTGTCATGTTGTGCTGGCGTGAAAAGTGTGTTCATGCCCACTGAGAGCTTGGCACGAAAAGGGTCTCTGGTATCTAGACGCAAGCAAAAGGAAAGGCTTCACACAGTTTCTGTAGGTTGCCAAAGAGGTGAGAGGGAGTGCTACTAAATAGGACACGTTGACACAACGGGCTTTTCTCTTGTCCATGCACACCGGTGTTTTATTTTTTTTTATGTTTTGCCCCGTCCAAACGTGTGGTTGTCTTGTGGCAGGACTCCTCCGGCAAATCTAAGGGCACAGCGGTGTTCGAGTACACGGACATGGAGAACGGTCAGCTGGCTCTCAGCGGGCTGTCCGGTCTACCCGTCGGAAAGGGAAAGCTCATGGTGCAGAGGGTGCCCGCCATGATGGCCGCAACTCTGCTCAAGCCGGTCAAGGTAAAGCCGAAGTGCAATTATATTGGTTACTATGCGCGTACCATGACAGTGCCAGTCGATTGATTCGCGGAGGGGAGGTGTACAGAAGTTTTTTCGGTGGGAGTTTGTTTCTCTTGCGGCTCAAGAAATCAGTCAGCACGAAATAGCAAGCAGGGCGTTTGGACACGTTTGTGTAGGGCTTGTTATGTACCTTGTGATGTACTTCTACATGCGATGCACTACGTGCAATGTACATGTGATGTGTTGTCATGTACATGTGTGGTGATTGGACGCTTCAGGGCGAAGACGTCACTTGTTTTTTCGTTTTGTTCGCACTCGGTTTTAGACCATAAGGACGGCGCGAAGCACGCGACTACACGCTCACCCGCAGCACCCCCCAGTGTTGCTGCGGGTGGTCTAGACGTTTCGAGAGGGGTGTTGTTTTCCTCGTTGCTCCGCCCTGCTGTAATCTGTGTCGTTAGAAAGCCTTTCGTAGTTTTTGTCTCATATTTGTCTAGACTCGACTCCTTTGCCCACCATCCCAACTCTCCGTTTTCCGTCTCCAATCATCTTGCTGGGCTTGCGTGTTATCGTTTGTTTGCTGGCGTCTCGTGTTTGTTGTATTGACCTCTGTTTCGGTGTGTGCATATCGTATCATGCATAGGTGAAGGAAGTGGAGGATGAACAGGACAACGTCGAGCCTACCTGTGTCGTCCGCCTCTCCAACATGGTCGAAGTCGAGGTATGTACGTGTACGTGTGGTTGTTTTTTTTGTTTCATTGGTTTGTGTTTCATTTGGATGTTGCTGAAGGAAGCATCACGTCGCGTGCATGCAGTATTGCATTAACGTAGAGGTAAGAAAAGAATGAACACTCGCAAGAGCAGAGGAGAACATATTAGAGACCATCCCACCCGACCTACAAAAACGTAATTCCGTTTGTGAACTCACTGATGATGAATCTGTATTTGACACGAGTTGCGACGACTGCAGGGTGGTGAAGTGAAGGCTGTAGAGGGCGTGAAAAAGTAAAAAAAGGGTGTGTGGAGGTGACTGTCTCGTGGAAGTCTGTCCCTCTCCCGTCTACTCTCTACGTGCGTTGCCGGTACGAGGGCGTTCGTTTTGTGTTCCGTTGTGTCTTTCGTTGGAGAGGATAATTTACGTTACTTTTTGTTGGCACCGAACGTGTGTCTGCTGGGTGTACTGAAGGTCGGAGTGCCGAAAGTCACTTGGGTGCAGGTGGTGTAGCGATTATTGTCGAACCTTCTCAGAATATTTGCTGTATTTTGTTTTGCCTTCATGACGTATGTTGGTTTCTATCTGCGGCAAAGTTGTTCCTCAAGAAACACAGGCCCACTGCTTGGTGGATAAAGATGATTATGGGAAGACTTGTTGTCCAACAATAGTACACGGAACATTTTCTTTGTTCTGCGAATGGGAGGTTGTTTTTGTGCTGTGCTGTGCTGTGCTGTGCTGTGCTATGCTGTGCTATGTTTTGGCTGTGCACTCACTAGTGTGCACTGCTGGCTGTCTATAGGAGTATGTATACTGTACTCGTTCTTGTTCTTGTTTGTGGTACGCATACGCTCGACGTCACGATCGTCGTCGCCGTCGTTATGGATGGGCTGTCCGTTGCATTGACCAGGAGCTTGCGGACGATACCGAGTACGCGGAGATCAAGGGTGACGTCGTCGAGGAGTGCGAGCAGTACGGCAAGGTCAAGTAAGTCCAATCAGCCAAGTAGCCAATCAGATAAGACGAGATCAGACCAGACCAGAACAGATAGGATAATGTCTACCCAGCCACATCGTCTCGATGCTGTATCGATGCTGTACCACCCAGTGTTGGCCTCAAGACACCGGCGGTTTTTTTTTTTTGCGTCGCGTTCATGCTGTACATCGCAACGGATCGAGTAGGTTTTCCCTTGGCGAAATGTATTGTACTAAGCATACTGTTTTATCCTTTGCCCAACATGAAAACCACATGGTACCGAATAACCCGAAAAGGTATGTACAACACGGGAAGGAGCGCTGTGCCCACTTCTTTTTTGTCCAACATGCACACAACACAACAAATACTCGAAACGACTCAAAGTGCTAGTTTTTTTTTTTTTTGTACAACATTCCTCTTGTGGGCAGTTGGTCTTGGCCACGGATGTTATGTAGAACTTACTGGGCAGACCGGTTTTCTATACTAAATATGTCATGCATTCATGCATTCGCGCGTCGACACACGGGCTCTCATGCACTTGGACTGCTTGTAAATTATCTACAAAAAGTGTGGTGGTGTCAGCCGTCGAAAACCCTTGAACTACTGCTGTACGGAAGATGCCCGCCAGGGCATAAGAAATTCAAAGAAGTTCAAAGAATGAAGGATGAACCAACCACCCACTCCTGTTTGAGCCCTCACAAGCAGCGCCAGCTCGAGCTCCTGCTACTCACCCCCCTGTCTTGTTTGATCTGAGGGTTGTTACAATTTGAAAGCAAGACGGCAACACGTGCACGCACCTGAGAGTGAAACCTCAGCGACGGCTGGCTTCTTCAACAGCAGGAGCTCTTCTTCCTCCCGGAGCTGCTCCACGTCTTGCTTTCAATCCTCCGCTAACACGATACGTTGTCGCCAGAGAAATGGCGCTGCGTGTTGACACGAGGGACGTTGACAGAAGCAAACACCGGTTGTACAACTTGAATCAGGCACTACTGCTGTCTATGAGCGAAGATAACAATAAACAAACAACAAGAGGCAGGCTGCTGAGCAGACCGGAAAGAGCTTTAATGCGAAGACGCGACAGCCAACAAGCGAACAACAAGCGGAACAAACCCGAAACGCTTGACAGCTGTATCTACGTTTGACAACTGTATCTACCCCTCACCGCAGGAGCGCCGAGGTCCCTAGGCCCGAGGATGGCAAGGAAGTGCTTGGCCTGGGTGAGATCTTCGTGGAGTTCGAGGACGTCGCAGGGGCTACCAAGGGCAGGAACGCTCTGGCGGGGAGGAAGTTCGGCGGGAAGGCCGTCAAGGCCACCTATTACCCGCTGGATCTTTTCCAGGTACAGAGTATGGATTTAATGCAAGTTCTGTCGCTATCGCCAACTACCTCGTGATACGAATGCCTTTAGATACAGATACTGGCTGGGGGGAGTTCGGCGAGTTTTCGCTCCCTGTCTTTTGGCTGTTGGTTCTTGTTCGATGTTTGTGTATTTTTGGGTGATACAAGTTCGATTTTTTTTTTTCGGCAGGGAAGCAAAGTCGTCGACACGGCCCATGGAAGCCGCGCTTCTTGTTTGGTTTATTTTTTCAGGTGTGCATTGTGGTACGCGATATTGGGCGATATCGGCCGTTCTTGTCCTATGTTTGTGCCATGATGTCTCTCGCGCTCGTAGTCACCTTAGCCAGCCTACGTACGTTTTACACACGTGCATGCCTGCATGTCTATGTCACGACCTGGGTCGTGTGGCCAATTGTTGTCCATGTGTATTGCATGACCGGCTACCCACAAGGACATGTGGTGTGCATGACACTTTCGTTTTCTCCCCTCGTCCTTTCGTGTGTGGCGATTTTCTTTTTTTGAGATTGTACCAGCTTTTTTTAGGGGTAATTGACCTGTGACCATTTCCTCTCTGGGGCCACGTATTTTCTTTTTTTGATATTTCGAAATGTGTACCACCTTTTAGGGGTAATTGGCCTGTGACCACGCAAGGTGTCCGCGTCACTTGGACCAGTACGGGTGTTAGAAGGTACTGAGCAGAGTCATTGGTCGGAACTGCTGTCTTAATTGTGACGACAACAGTAACATGGTGTCCGGCCCGTCGGTTAGACATTCACATTTGGTCGCTCGAGTGCATGTTTTTTCCCTTTTTCCACCCCCCTTGTTTTTCTTTACGGGTTCTGCCGCCTATCATACGTACTGTACATTTTCATGTCTTGGTGGCCCGATTCTTGCATGCTAGAGAATGCGATGAGCGTACTTAACCTTGCTTGTCTTTCCACGTTGCCTTGTGCTTGCTGTTTGCTTCCAGATGGGAGTGTTCGGGAAACCAAGCGTAGAAGAAGCACCTGCCGTCACGAAGGAGCCGGAGAAGAAGCATCCTACGCCGGCTGAGGTGCAACCGGGGGCAGAACAGGTATGAAATACCGAGGAGTGTTTTGAGGAGGGGTGGGTGGGTTGCAGTTTTTTGGTTTGGGGAGAAATAAATCATAGCGTGGATGCTTTGTGTTTGTGTAGCTATACTACATACAACAAGGCTACGGAAGAGGTACTAGCTGAAATAGATTCGCGTTGAGTAATGTATCCAAACGGCTTCAGCCCTGTCTTGCACGTTGTTGTCTCGTCGCTGTCTCTGTGCGTGGAAAGAAAACCAATTTGTTGAGACGTAAACGGTGGAAATCGTTGTTTATTGGTGTTTTATCTGCTTCCATTTTCAACGGTGCCTCACCCGCACTGCGTGCTCCCTTATCCCTCGATGGATGCACAGACCACACGAAACGCGAATTCATTATTGTACCAATGAATATACCCTTTTCTATTGATAGAGGAGATTGATTAGTTGTGTTGCATTAAGAACAATGAAAATGGCACACGTGGTTTGGCTGTTGGTTTTTTTCCTGCGTAAGTCTTTTTCGGTCGTTGGCCAGTGACCGCGGAAGGCGGTCGAGTCAGTTGGACCATTACGGATAGTAGAAGGTAGTGTAGTGAGGAGAGATCGGAACGGTGTTTGATGTAAAGACAACAACCACAACCTTTTGGAGTGGTTTCTGCTGTGATCACCTTCCTCTCACCTCTCTCTCTCTCTCTCTCTCTCTCTCTCTCTCTCTCTCTCTCTCTTTGTGTGTGCATGTGTTATGTCTTGTGACCGCGTCTGTCGTGAAGGGTGGAGCACACGGATTCGTGATTGTTGGAGAAGCAGATGATGGCCCAGCACCCATGCCCGTCTCCAACGGTGTCGGCTCCATTGGGGACGATGACCTCCCCCCGGACTTCGACGCCATGCCCGTAGAAGCCTTCGAGACGAAAACGCCATCCGTCCAAGTGGCAACTATGGAGGTGGACTGAGCAGTGGTGGTAGCATAGTGCTTGCTTGGATTGAGTCTCCGGTTGTGGATGGCTCGATGGCGTGGTGTGGGTCGATCGGCTCGGATTGATGATGCAAGGTAGAGGGATAGCTAATAGCCGATGTTGATTGTCGTCCGAAATGAAAGCACCAGCAGAGCAAGCCCAAGTCACGGGAGAGGCACTCCTGCTCGTACGTCTATTGGATTGGTTCTTTTGCTGAGATTTCGATATCGGTGATATGTGGTAGGCCCATGATATGGTTTGAATGATCTACCACATGGACCGATTGGTGTGATATGGCTGGAAAGTCGTTTCGGCGCCAAGCGTTTCGGGGACAGTCAATCCTTTGCATATGATCCTTTCAATATGGGTTAGGCGGGTTACCGGGTACCATCACAGTTGAGTTCGACATGGAGTGTCATGGTAGGATTGTCGGCCCAGATTGTTGGGTCCATTCATTCTATGGTCCGTTCCAAGACCTGACTGTCCTATCGATGGTAGGCCGGCTCGGTGGTGTGACTGGTGCCATGCGAAGGACCTCCAGATAGTCTTGGTTGATGTTTGGTTCCTTCGGACGGGTCTGTCCGGTGGTTGATGTGACGAGCCGATGAGCAACTCGTTTTAGCGATGAGACGTGGCCGATCACATGTATTGGCGGTAAGGTGGGTTGGATGACCCGCCTAGTTCGGCGGACGACGACTACCCAATCACATCCGTTCACGCGGAATCAGTTGAAAGGCGAGCACCGCGCGCTTCAGTTGCACCTATCGTGTCGATGCTGGCTCTAGTGACTTGACTGGGCGGGACGACCTGTGGCACGCCAGGCGCTGTTTTGGTTCGACGGACGAGTGCTGCAGTGGTATCAAGAAACTGGGCTTAGCAACATGGTATGCAAGGGTATGGTTGCGTCTGCTACTCTCTTGTGACTGCTGTGACAATCGCCGCGGGTGGAAGAAGCGGATCGGGTGGCATGGGATGGGATGCAGGGTGGTACAGTAGGATAGCACCGAACGGGTTTCTGGCCTCATTTTGCTGGGTTTCAAGAGTCGTGCTGGGGGCGTTGTGACAATAACCGATACATTTATTTGGACTTCTTCCGTGGGGTTGGTTCTTGGACGGAGGCGAGCGTGCCTGTTGGCCGGCCAGCTGTTGAAATCTGCATGATTTGGTGGTTTCGACACGGGCAGCGTAGTCGATCAATCTGACTGGTCGCATGTTCTGTTCAGATTGATGCCGCCATCTGTTGTTCGGAATTGCCTGCTCGCGGCTACTCACTGCCTCTGATGACTTGCACCTTTGAAGTGGTTGTGCTGGAGATGTTTTCTCTGTAATACAGTAGTGGAACTGGACGCACCGACCTTTAGCAAGGAAAAACACGTTGCCGAGTCTTGGGACGACCACGCCACACACTCATGTGATTAGCTGATTAGAACTCGCCTGATGTGTCATGGGCTCAATTTTGGAGGTTTTTTTTTGCGATCGTGAGCGCGCAGGAAGGAACGAGAGGATAATGTCGTGTGTTAGCAGCAGGGGGAGGGGGCGGGGCTTTGGCGAACGAATCGTCTCTAGATATCTGGAAACCTTGATCGCGTGTATGCGATATATGCAAGAAGGAAGAACGGCGCGGTGTACACGTAGTACGTACGTTGTAGGGAGGAAGGATGAGGGTCGGAGGCACGCACTAAAGGGCAATTTACGGCAACAGTCCGAGTCGATGCCTGTGCAATTGGGGTGGGAGTAGATTCCACAAAATAGTGGTGCGACGTGACTTCATAGCAACACGCAGTTTTTTTGCTTGAGATTCTCCTTGTGCTTACGCGAGAGACTCACGGGACGAGGCACGGCCACAAAAAATGGATAATGTTGCTGAAGCGGTTGAACCAGGGGTGGATGTGCGACCAATGCTCACGACTGCTCTCCGGCAGTGTCGTATGACTGCGGATCGCGATGATGCTCTCGGATCTGAATGAATCAAACGGGCAAAGCGGGGGATAAGACAGGAAATCGGACGGAGACGGGGGGGGAAAGCGTAAGACAGACGCAATTGGGCGACGGGTGGGAAAAGGCAGAAAGAGAAGAAGATAAGTTGAGCAGGCAAGACGAAAAGGGATGCGGGGGTAGAAGTGTTGGTCGTTGTTCCTGCAAAATACGCTGAAAAGCCACACCACCAGTGTTATTCCCTCGCGACAACACTGAGGCTGCTGCTATCTACATACTATACGGGTGTTTTGGTGTGCCCAAAACGCCGCACGCATCAAAACAACCGACCGAGTACTTTCAGTGGAGCTATTCTTCGGTTGGTTCTCGGTCAGCTTGTCTGGTGGTGCCGTGCAGTCTTTTCCCTCAGCCTTGCATGATGCATCATTTCTTGCATAGAACATATGCATGCGACCATGGGAAGACGCGGCAGGAAATGAGTGACCTCTCTAGCAAACAACATCTACTACTAAAGTATTTGGTAGAAAAGTGGCAGTCGTTTTCGTCACGAAAAAACATACCGGCTTGGCAAGGCCTGGAGAAATTCGAGGGGCACACGCGCGGTCATGCGCACTCTGGAAAAAACAAAACCCTGTGTTCACAAAACAGGAAAGCCTACACTGCTGCCACCCAAGCACTGACATAGTTAACACGCAGCAACACGAAGACGGTCCGGTAAGAAAAACCACCCCGGAGGAGGTAGGTTACTCTCGTCGTGTGTGTACAAGAGAGAGAGGAGTCGGTGATGGACCAACACTTGTCCGCTAAAATATATATATATTTTTTATGTAGAGAAGTACCACTCGAAGAGGTAGGCGATGATCTCTCCAATCTGCTTCACGCGGGGTGTCCTTGCCTCCGTTCACACGCGAGGTGTGTGCGATCTCCTCCTCGGCATTTCAATTGAATGTGATTTGAACCAACAACAGACGACCCAATTTTCAAATGTTCAAATTCCGAGCAACACGATGGGGGGGTGAGGGTGCGAAGAAACGAATGCATCTGATCCGCGGGGCCGCTCTAACACTCCACCGAGCAGCACCACGGCACGGGGAACTGACCTACAGTAGTAAGCTCATATATACATGCCTGGAGAGGCAATCCTTCGGGTTGATCGTTAAGGCTGGTGTTAGTCCATTGCACATCGACACCGCAGAGGCTTCATCACATCATCGATCGCTACATTAGATATCCTGAATGTAAAGAAGGAGCTGACCTGCGGCATGTTCAACCCGATCTGCAATGGCTGTCTTACGCAGATCGCCAGCGGTACCAATGGCTTCTTGTTGTCCTGTGGGCACTTTATCTGCCACGGTGAGTTCTGCCTTCTCTTCGGTTGTGTATAGATAGGTATGTGTGACGTGTGTGCGCGTTTCTCTTGCCCGCGTTCACGCCTATACGTACAGGACCGCACACACAACATTTCAAATTTTGAAAAGGATCGTCGCCGGCTGTCTCTCTCTCTCTCTCCCCCTCTCCCTGCCCTCCCTGATGGTGAAGCACTCTCTCCCCTCAGCCGGCAAACGTTTCCAAAAATTGTCGAGACTCCAGTCTATGACGACGGCGATAACTACGGTACCGCCGTAGCAGCACCGCAATGGTTTGTAGCCGTGATTGATGACCATCCTCGGAACAGTGCTCTACAGGCACTACGGTACCCTCCTGTAGGTATCGTGGCCTGCCTTCGTTCCTGGTGATTTCCTCCTCTCTGTCTCTCTCTCTATATATATCCTCCATGCAACATGGAACATGCCACAGGGTGCTGTCGAGGGAACCAACCATCCACCTGCCCGCACTGTGGCCTCAATGCACGCGCTGCGGTGTTGGATAACCCCCCCGCGGAGGTGCGGGACTACCTGCAGGTACAACACAAACGAACGGAGTTCTTATTATTATTATTTTTTTTTTTCTTAATATTACACAACGAATCCATCTCTATCATAGAAACGAGTCTGAGACAGATAAGCAATGAATTCATAGCGTCAGAAACTACCTGTATGTCTACGATTTCCCAGACAGCATATAGGGACATCTTTTTCAAAGGAGCATCGATATGGTGGCATATTACGGCTTGCTGCCGTAGGTCTGTCGGTGACCGGTTGTTGTCTTCACATTAGAATGGTCAGTTTACTATTGACTTTTACAATTGGTCGTTGTGTGCATGATGCGTCTACTACTATATAGTGGGTTCATGAAGACAAGTTGATGGGTAGCACGTTCAGTTCGTGAGAGTTTTTCTACAAATCGCGGGTTGAGGTACTGCTGTACTGTAGGGGCTCCCAACCGGAACTGTACCCCGACCCCGAGACGTTTCCGTTGTTGCTTTTCCTTTATATTTACCGGGTACATACTTTCGGTACCACCCTCCAATTTTCATTGATGACCTACTGCTTTGCTGTCTGTTGCTCTCTATTGCAGTGCCACCGGCTCCACATTTAATTTCTCTCTGCTGCAGTGTTGTTTAATGTAGTTAATGGTTATTTTTTTAATTTTCAGTTTTGGGGACGCCATAAAACAAATATATGGTCGGGAGTGTTTCGTTTGGGTGACGTGCGTGTGTGCGTGTTTTTACTTTTTTGGAGGGACGCAATAAAATTCGAGAACAAGTCGTACTTATCGTTGGTTAGGCTAGACATGTATCTACCCAAGAAGCCTTGCTGTAGTCTTTGCAGTACGAATCGCCACCCGATGAGGCAAACTAAACAAAGTATATATTTCTCTATCTCGTGTTGGGGACATGAACATGTCATCCCCAAACCACCAACAGCATCTATCTATCTGTTCCCGCTCATGGGTACATAACTATCCTTCACTACTACAGTTAATGTAGTGGAATATGAGCTAGATCACTCCCGTAGCACCGATTCGGTGCCTTACACGCACGCCGTAACTCTCTCTCCCTTCTGCCATACAAAGCTTGACACAGGCCGCATGACATGTTCTCCTCCCCCCTTACCCCCTTTCGTCCCCCTCCTGTACCCCCCTCCCGCGTCCAGAACCCGTCGACACAGTTGAAGGCGGCAAACGATGTGGTCATGTTTCAGCTTGACCATTTCCGCTCTGCCGCGAACCAGGTGCTGGGAATCTAAGTACGCTCCATGCGTTTACGTACCACCAGAACAGGCTTCCTATGTATTTTACTCTGTGTTACTTGAGAAGAGCACGCACACGCATGAACGCTAGGAAGGGAACGGTGATTTGCACCGGCGTTGCCTCTCAACCCCGTTCGTGTCTAGCGGAAGAGAGGATGGGTGCACCGATGGTTCGTATCTGCAGACTCTACGCACTTCAACGTTTCAAACGATTCTCCTTTTTTAACCTACTGCTGTCCCATTTACGAAACAGAGCGTGCATTCCACTCCATCAAGGCACTAGCTGTATTGTAGCCGACGACAAGATACATGCGACTGCTGCTGTGGTTGTTAGGCAACGATAGCAAGAAGCGTGTGTATCGCGAACTTCACCAGGCGAACAAGGCCCTGCACGAACTACGGCTCGTCCACTCGGAAGAGGTCGGGCGACGTGAAGCGGCTGAAGCAGAGACTCGCAGGTGGCGCCAGAGAGCGGAGGCCGCCGAGGTGTTAGCCAGCGGTCACCAGGGTGCGCAGGGGAGAAGAGTCAGCGATGAGGGCAGCTCGCCCATCGGGAAGCTCGGGCAAAGGTTCGGCTGGGCCAGGGAAGAGAAGAGACCAGCAGCGGGGACGCTGGCGAAAAGGGGGCCTGCACCCAACAGCCGCTTCGAGGATAGATCCGCAGGTAGCGGTACCGGTGGGGGCGGTGGCAGCGGTCGGCGAAGAGAAAACTCCCGCCAGGAACATACAGTCCCTGCGAGGGAGATGGCACCAACCGGCCAGGGACCTCCGCGATCGTCCGGCTCAGCAGACAACGCCGACGCCGCGGCGGCTCGAGGCCGTGCCCCGCTGGACCAAAGCAGTCAGTCTCAGCAGCAGCAGCAGCAGCAACGTGAGCCTCATCGATCCGCGTCGCCAGCGGTGGCCGGCGCCGGAGCGTGTTTGATGCCATTGCCGTTTTCGGTGCCAGGGCGGCCTCTTCGGCTAGGCGGCCAAGCGAGTGGTAGAAAACCGGACACGCCGAGACCAGTGCCGATGGCCGCGCCGAACGCGTCGCCTGGGCGGGTGCAGGGTGTTTCTGGGCAGCAGCAGCAGCAGCAGCAGCAGCAGCAGCAACAGCAACAGCAGCAGCAACACCACCAGCAACACCACCACCACCAGCAACAACAACAACAACACCAGAAAGAGCAACGACAACGACGACAACGACAACAGCAGCAGCAGCAGCAGCAGCAGCAGCAGCAGCAGCAGCAGCGGCAGCAACGAAGAGAGGTACCGGCTGAGGCGGCGGCACATCGGCCGGGAACGCTAGGCCGCCCGCTTCGACCGGCCTGGCAGAACGGCAGCGGCAGCGGCGGTGGCACGGTTTCGGCAATGGCGGAGGACTCGTCCGGAGGGGGGCGGGGAGTCCTGGCTCCTCGAGGCGGGCGACAAGCTTCCTCACCGCTAGCACAGCAGCAACAGCAGCAGCAGCAGCAGATGAGGCCACAGGTGTGTTGCGACAAAGGAGGAACGAGTGGTGAAGGCGGAGGTCACTGCTGGCCCAGTCGAGATTTTTGTTGCGAAATCCTTCGAGAGTGCGTTTTTGGTTGGAAGAAGGTGCTTAGTTTTGTGCGTATGTTAGCGTCGACGAGTCAGTGTTTTCGTATTGACACTTCAAAAAAAATCTCGACAGCATGGCTCTGGCAGTGGCCGCAGCCCATGTAATCAAGCGAAGCTGTTGTCTCTAACTAAATACAGTTTGCAGGCATGCGACCATTATTCCTTCCCAGAGTTTCGGCCGGCGGACTCCCAGCACTCCGACACCATGAACGAACACGGTTCGTCCAATCGCACGTGATGGGCACCTATCTTTCTTTTCTCACCCCCCGACAACAACAACAACAACAACAACAACAACAACAACAACAACAACAACGTGCTTCCATGCTTCCGACTCCCTTCTCGAGAAGCGGCCCGCCACGGGGGTTTCTACTGGCGGCGGCGGTGGCACAGACAAGGGCCTCTTCTCCAGCACGCCTCCTCGTGGCGCGCGACAAGACACGGGCAGGCCGGGCTCGTCGCGTCTCTCGTCGGCAGGGTCAGTGTCGAGGCGGCAGGTGTCTAGCCCGGCGCCCCGGTCACCGTTGTTGGCTGCACGGCCGGGATCGTTGAAGCGGCCACCGTCGGGGAGTGCTACGCCGGTAGGGAAGAATAATATTTTTCTTTATACAGTAGATAAAATCGGTTTTTGTTGAGGGGTTGGTTAGGGTTAGGGTTAGGGTTAGGGTTCGGGATAGGGTTAGGGTTAGGGTCAGGGCTAGGGTTAGGGATCCGGATATGCACTTCCGTGTGTGCGCGGGGCGTTGCGCGGATAGCTGTCACGTATAGTTTCTGAAACAATTAGGATGTGCGCGTGGATGAATCGTAGCCATTATTTGTTCTAGAAACGACGTGTGTTGTTGCTGTCGTCCTCGCCGAGGTTGTTGGTCGTGTTGTACTTTGGTGCCCCCGTCACGACGGCGCCTATTTACCTGCGTTCACCGCACTCACGACTCGATAGGTCAGGGCGTCGGTGATCATGGGAAAGCAGATTCCCTCGCACGCACGCCGACCGGACACAGCGGGGCAGAACAACATCAATCAAGCGGACACAGCTAGCTACCGGACGTGTCCCCCGCTTTGATTGGGCTGACGAGGAAATCAGCGCCAAAAACAACAGCGCCAAGTAGCTCGACAAAATCCCCCACGTCTGCCATGCATTGACCGGTCGAACCGCCCCATAAAGCCGTAGTTCCTGGTGATTAACCTCCTACACCTCCTTGTTGTTGCCCACAGGTGGCGAAAAGGCAAGGGCTATTACCATTATCGCCCACGGATCGTAGTGTACGAGCAGGGACCCCGACGCCTTCTCTGCGCGCAAGCTCTCCGTCGCCTAAGCTACGTGAGTCGCGCTCTTAAATCGGAGTTTTGACCTCTTGATAAGCATAAGCTTTGTGTGGACAGCTACATTATCATTCCGTGAGGCCCGTTCGTACGTTGCTTGGCGGTGGCACGTGCTGCCTACTCTTTCTTTCCTCTTGCATCAAGATTTCAACATGTTGGGATAGCTGGATTTGTAGGTCCCGTTCCGGCCCCAATTTGGAATCTGCTGGGAACGGAAGGAGCCGACGTTGTTCAACATCCAAGAACCACACCTGGCACCTCGGTCTACCTGTTTTTACGTGATTCCATTGAGCCAATGAAGTTTCTTTTTTGATATTTTCACAACACAGGCGCTTGTCCGGGGCTAACAGCCGGAAGCGCTGTTTTTCTCCGTGAATTCACTCGTCGAAACCTTGAACCTCCCGCTCACCTCAGGCTCGACACACCTACCCTTCACGCAGCGATCCTCTCCGAGACCCGGCTCTAGCTCGCGACCCCAAAACAACGGTAGCGGCGGCAGCAGCACCCCGAGAACACCGTCCACGCCAACCCTCGGACGGCAAGCGACAAGCATCCCCTCGGTAAGGGAGAATACAGCCCCACCGACACGAACGAAAGTTTTTGAGGTGTCAAAGCTTGGTGGCACCGGGCGTTTCTACAGCGAGAGAAAAGCAAAGGCTATATCGTCGTACGTACCTATGTATTGATGCGCATCCGGCCACAACACGAAGGGTAGTGCGCGGTGTGGTCGTTGGAAGAGCTTCGTTTGGAGCCCAACCATCCGCACCGGCCTCTAATGCACGAAAAGACACAACTGATACAATAATTGCATTTTGGTCTGGTCTGGTCTGGTCTGATCCGGTTTCGATCAGCACCAACAGCACCAACGACGCAACAGTCCGCCGGTCCTTGCCACGGAGATAAAGCTAATTAAACGGTCGTTTTTCGGCGTCTACTTTTGCCCTTGTTCTTGTCTCTGACGTTCAACGCATGCCCCTCCCCTCCCCGTGGCCCTCACTCCCCTCCCTTCCTCCTTCTCGAAACCAATCGACGTAAACGTCACCCGGGCATCATCCACAAATGTGAGAAAGAGTCTGGAAGCAGCTGGGCTGTTTTCGAGACGACCGTACGCCAGTAGCGGGCCGAGATGACGACTTGAAAGTGTAGAATACGCTTAGATATGTATCGCAATCCCACGGGGATAGCCTGCCGCCCCGTGTGTGTTCAGAGAATTGGTTCCCGCGCATAGGTTTTGGCGGAGCCTTTGCCGCTCCGAACCGTACACTGTTATTGTTCTTACTGTGTTTTCCCTTCTCGATCATGATGTTGGGGTTCGCACATTATTATTTTTTGCGACTATGAACGAACGTTCAAGTGTACGCGGGTTCGGGCGTCTTCATACACATGGCGTTTGATTACAATCTTGTATGTGCCATCCCGTTTCTGTGGGTCGGACGTCCATTCTACAGTACGCCTTTCGGAATGCCTATGCGTGGTGGGCGTACTACTATAGGCAGGGTGACAGGAGGAAAACCACACAGACAGGAGGACATTCCATGTTATTTTCTACCAACGTCCTTCTGCGGTGCTTGGCTTACAACAGTGGTCATCGAGACAAGAGAAGGACTTCGCGGTTCCGTTCCCTCGTCGACCGTGCAGGGTCGACTGCTGTGTGTCCGCACGAATTTAATCGCTGCCACCAGCTGGTTGGGCACAATGCGAGAAAAACTCCAAGGCCGTGTGACTCCGCCGAGGTTGGAAATCCGTGTCTGGAAGATTCATTTTGAGGTTACCAACAGTAGTGAAACAACCGAGCCTTCGAACTTCCATCCTGTATCTACGTTCAACTTGGCACATAGTGTGCAGGCGCATTGATGTAAGGCACACATGGCGTTGTGTAATGGCAATGTGCAATGGTGTTGTGGAAATATTGAGCGAGAGTCGTGTGACAGGCATGACATGACAGGACATGACACACCGAACAGGAACCAGTCGGTGAGGACCAGACCGCCACACTGCATACAGTAGTCAACACGACAACGGCAGCGCAGTGGTTGCCACCTTCGCAACAGTGAACAAAGGATGCGGGTTATCAGCAAATCACTCGCAGAAAATCTGCTGGGTTGCGTCGTGGGAAAGATAGACACGGAAATTGTTCCTCGTCGAAAACCGACCAAAGACACAAGGCATGCAGAGAGAGGTTGCCAACGGAACACACCGCGTGTGGAGTAGCGCCTGGGGAGTAGTAGCCAATACTCACTACCGGGTCGTGTGCACAATACGACCCACGTCCAAGTCGAACTCGACCACTTGTCAAGGCTCGTATTTGAATCACGGTCAACCCTTCAACCGAAAAACGCAGCTCTCTCGATTGGCGAAATCCATGCTTGTCATCGTGCCATCTCTTCTCGTGTGGTGTGTTGGCAAGTCACAGGCTCTCACACCGAGCAAAAAACTGTCCTATATGACCGACAACTAGGTGCAGTGGTGCGCACGAGGCGGTCCCGTCAGCAAGCGAACACAGTCTGTTGCAGCCTTTAGACAATCGCATTGTTTTCGGGAAATGCACCCCACCACAGAGTTGCTCTCGCCGCTGGCAAATCTGAAAGTAGCTGCGGGCTTCCTATCCGCTTGTTGCCTGAGAGCAACGCCCACGCATGCACTTCCATCTTCCCTTTCCCCTCAAGTCTGACCTACCCACCCTCCTCCTACCCAGGTATAACGAGGAAAAAACCTGATGCTCAGTTGTTTTTCCCCCTTTTTCCTTCCCTGTTTTTCCGTCTGTCATTTAGCAAGTCCCGCATGAACAAAGAAACACCAACGTTATAACAAAAGAGCAGCGTATCACCCTCTCCCTCTACCACCGCTGCTTGCAACTATGCCGTGCAATACAAAAACATGCATCTTTCCGTGAAGCACTTGATTTCCTCCTTCCATTCCGTAACACTCGGCAGTACCGGGGCAACACACAAGCGCCCCGTTGCCAAAATGTAGTTTATTTCCCTTCCTTCCTCATCCTCCCCGGCCGGCGCCCCCAACGACTGATCTGATTGACCCATCTGGTCAACCAAGTCGTCGCGGCGCAGGCCACCAGCATCATCTCTTCTTGAAGCCGTACTTCTTTCTCTCGTAGAATAGGTCGGTCTTGGAGCTGCCCAGGTTAACGATCTTGGGGCACCCGTCTCGATCCTTCTCCTGCTGGGTGCACTCGCGGCAGTAGTAGGCGTCCGAGATGCCGGGCCCGCCGCAGATCGTGCACCGTCCCTGGGAGAAGAGGGGAAACAAGAAAAGTTCGAGAAGCGACCGGTCACGGCACAATTCTGTCTCGATAAATTTCGAGCGACGACATAGAATACCATGGGGAGCAGGCAGCGAAGGTTGACGCAAGAAAGCTGGAGTACAGATCTATCCGAGATAACAATGTCACGCGCGTGTAACCGACGGCTTTTTTTAACGCAATGTTCGTGAACCAAGCTGCTGCGGTCCTGGTGTTTTTTCGTGATTACACCGTATGATGGGCCGCACAAACATTACAGTTACAACCCACCTCGAAGGAGCCGTAGTTGCACTCGTCGCAGATGCGGACTAGCGTGCAGGGGCGCACGTAAGAGTCGCACACGACGCACTTGCCATCGCCTGACATGTCAGTCGCAGTCGCAGTCACAGTCACAGTCACAGAAGCCACGTTTGTTTGAGGAGCAACGAGCAAGGGGAGGTGAGCATCGCACAAGACGCACTTGCCATCGCCTGACATGTCAGTCGCAGAAAAACGTGATTGTAGCGGGTGTGAGCGGGTACGATAGTGGTGGTGGTGGTGGTGGTTGTGGTAGGGGGCTTTACTAAATAATGTCAAAGCATGCCGTAGTCGGTAGGCCAGAAACCTCGCATGCCGGGACGGAGCGAAATGTCGGGTTTTCGCTGGCCTAAGCTATCTCTCACAAGGATGAACCACAAGTGCAAGTGGAGGGGTGGGCTAATACACAGCAATAGCATATTGTAGTATAATACATACTTGTATCCAATACAAGAGCCGTGTCCCGAGAAGACGGATCAGGCAGAGCCCCGATCGCGCACAACGACATAATCTATAATCTCATCATAAAATAACGACACACAATATCAGGTTGCTTTTTATGTACAGCGGCCCGGATGCGCCCGTTTGTCAGCGGCAACAGAGCGAGGCAGCTGCTATCGCAGTACCTGACGTCAAAAGCGAGAGAGAGCTGGTGTAGGTGCAGGGAAAGCATCGCTGAGGCATGTCGAACGCTACAACATACAACATACACACCACCCGTGATACACGCCGTCAGAAAACACTCTCTGGCTTGATCCTCCCTCTTACATTTCTCGCACAGCCGGCCGATGGCTGCGGGGATGATTGCAGCGTGGTGGCGCAGACCGATCCGATTCCATGCGACGATTCGGGTATTTATTGTATTTATTTGTACCAAGGTCGAGGAACGGGGGACAACAAGCGAGGAGGGGGGGCAGGTGACGGAGAAGGCACAAGCAAGGGAGGGATATGGAGGGTGAGGGTAAACATACACACGTGGAGGAGGAACATACTACAAATGGGGGCTTCGGCAGACTGCTGTACACAGGAAACTTGAGGATCCACCCCAAGTTTACTGCAGGATGATGAGATGGACGAAATCCGGAGGTGGCGGACGGGGCGGTGGAATGCCCTTGGCTGCATATGTTGTACAGCGTCGGTTTTTTTTTTTGTGGATGCACCGGCTGCCCTTACAATAGCGACGGGACAATCACCGCCGTGGTCGCCTAAAATAAACGAACCGGCTTTCAACCGAGGTGGGCCAATCAACAGGAAACTTGAGGCGCAGACCCGCGTGACTGTGCAAATCACAGGTCTTAGACACCCGTTGTGCAGCAGTATGTATGCATAGTCTAGATGTGCAGCCTTCGTTCGTTGCTTGGTGGAAAATGCCAAGATACGCCCGCCAATGCTGCTTCTTCACTCAAGTACGCAAACAAAATAACAGGAAAGGCTTGGGAAGCATGCGATGGAGGGGCTTCAAGGATATTCCATAAGCCCATAAGCTAATGTTGCGCGGCTCTCCTTTCTCCACAAGCACGAATCACCCTTACGATCACGCAGTAACAGAGGGAGACGTAGACGCAGAAAACGCTCGTGGATCGACTCACCGATGCCAGGCTGCTTCCGGCACATGACCAGATCGGGGTGATGCTTCGCCATGATCCACCAATACCGTCCCGGTTCAGCTCTACTTCAGGGGTCGATCAACAGGATGTGAGTGCGGCACACGCACGCTGCTCTCGCTCTGTCTGCTGTGTGCTGCAGCTGTCGAGCTGGCTGGCGGAGAGGCCACGCGATTCGCATCTCATATTTTACGTACCCCTCAGGATACCTATTCGCGTGCCCCCAGACTCGTTCCTACAAAAAGTTCCTTGTGCGGCGTGCTGTGGTTTCGCAAGCTCCGCCTCGCATCTACGTCGTATACACGCGAACGATGGTACCCCTAACCACGCGAATGGCGGCCGTGTTGGCTTCGTGTGTGTTTCTCTCATTGCCTTGCTCCGGTTTCATCGTGGTACCAGCGAATTCGTCTCCGTTATCAGCCTATCGAAGAGCAGCAGTTCGGCCGCCTGCAAGCAGCAGCCGTCGTTTAGCTCGGTGCGAAGGAGGAAGCTGGGTAGGAGAGCGGCCAGCAGCAGTAAACGCCATCGCGCTGCAGGTGGGTGGTGCGATCTTTGGGCCTCTCCTTGATCGTTTACCCTTGTCATGCAAAAGACCCGAGAGAACGGAACATGTGTATCGTGTTGTTATACATGCACACATGTTTCTCATGTTGTTCCTGTTTGATGCATCGGGTGTGGTGCCTACTGGTCGTCGTTCAACAGTCAAGGACAGCCGTACTGCTGCAGATCACTTACAAGTAGAATGGCCTAGTGTTGGGGCAGTATGGAACTAGAGTTGGGGAAGAAAGTGCTCTAGTACTGGAAGCAGCGTGAGAAAAAAATATGAAACTTGGAAATAGGCCCTCTGGGTACATGTAGCAGTAGCTTTCGGTACCAGCCAGCGGCAACAAACTGCCGTTATAATAGTAGTTGTTTGAGTCGGTCAGGGGGCCGGTTCGGCATCCCTCTCCCTTGTCCGATTTGCGTGGGTGCTTTCGTGGCCGTCGTCGTGACAACTACATTGTTGTATACTCGCAGTACAACATACAAGGCGGTGCTAGGTTTTCGACGCGTTCGCGAGCATAAGAAATGCTTCGCTTTTTTAGATACAAGAGTTTTGGAGTTCTCTGGCAACAGCATGTCTCGGGCCCCCACACCCTTCCTCGCCGTCCTCTAGGATAGCCCAAATCCAAGAAACGGGTATGCAAAGCAGGTATATGCAGTGTGCCCAAGGCGACGCTGCTTCCAGACGCATGAAGGCTTACATCAGAGAGCACCGCCGAGTAAAAGCCACGCCATACAGTGAACACACATCCACCGCAATCGTTTGTTCACGACCGTGCAGGCGACGACCGATGATAATAGCGAGCAGGCCCGCGAACAACCAACGCAGGAGGCAAGCTTGGCGGCAGCACGACAAGAGGCGGCGAGGAGCAAGCAGTTGAACATCGCGTGCAACGACGTCGTCCGCACCATCCTGGACGGTAACCCAACCAACGAGAAAGAGAGGGCCGAGGCCCTGCGGCAAAGATTGATATCGCAGAAGGACGACCTGGTTTCCCCGGAGGACGACATGTCGGCGCTCTTCTTCGACAACCTACTATTGGTGTGCGAGCACGAGCTGCACCCTGACATCGGCATCCTGCGGGGGCAGTACGGCAAGGCTTGGAACACCATCCTGCACTACGTCGAAGACGCAGGGTGGCAGCTCACGGATCCCCCGTTTTCGATCTCAGGGTAGATTTTGGTTTGGACGGATACAACGTCGAAAAACGTCACTTCGTTATTATGCCATGTAGAGACGCTAGAGCAGGTTGTATGCGTTGCGAGCGCGCAGCGAACATCTCAAAGCGTACCCAGCTTTTTTATTCCATGTCCATTTTAGTGTAGCGGTGTTTTTTGGTGTCTAGTCTTGTTCTGGGCTTGTTTTTGCTCGGTCTTCGTATGGTCGTGTTGTTTTGTTGATCCGGCGGTGACGTGTAGTTAGAACACCTCCACAACTTGCTCAGAAGCAAAGCACGTGGGTGTCAGAGCGGACACAAGAAGTGTCGGTTTCCTTCGCCGAGGGGTCCGGAGGTGATCACGCGCATACTCGCATCGGTTTCTCCTTTTGCTGCCACACACGAGCCAAATAGATCGGTGGGTCTTAGTCCTGCCCCCATGCTGGATAATGCCGGATATCGACGCTCAGTGCTGTCTTGCTAGAACGGACCCCTTGCAAAGCCAGTCCCTTCTCCTACGCCTGACCACCCCCGCGTCTTGGCGACGTACAATATTCCGTTGGAGATGACGGAGACAACGCGAAACAAATAAAAGGCGAAGGCGCGGAGATGAGATATGATGATGAGTGCCTGGGCACACATCGCGTGTGATGGGCAAATGATTTCGTGCGTGCACGTCTTGTCGGTTCCGTAACCTTTGTTGACGCCAGAGGCAGTCGCATGTCCCATTTCGCCAAATCGTAATTCTGCCGCGATGGTGCTAAATTTAGGGGTAACATACAGTTGTAGTCAGGGCTCGCCACGCTTGGAAAGGCACTCTCATCTGGGCTATTCAGAGGTTCCGCCAAGAGAATGGGAGGAAACTGTATGATGATGACGTGCAACCCATGCCCAAAGCGGACAGCGTGGGTCTGTGCGTTGCATCCATCTGCACGACCTACCACAGAAAACACCAAGAACGCGGTCAAGGATACGCGCAATTCCCGAGCATTCTACAGCAGCTACATCAGCACACAGGTACACAAGAAGCCGTTCCGTCGTGTACATTCTGGGACTCGCGTCCTCTCTACAGCTTTATCGCCTGCTGCAGTACCACGTTGCCTACCTTCGACCCGGAAAACTTCCAGCGCTTGGGGTTCGTCAACAAGTGTCGTGGGTTCAAGCTTGTGGTCTTTGTAGACGACGCACACCCGTTCTTACCCAAGTAGGGGCCTGAGAAGACGGCCGGAGAGCAATCGACAACCGGTTGCAGAGTCAGTGAGCGATCGTTGGCGATCGACATCAATCGTGAAGTAATGTCTCCACACTGGTGCACGATATCAGCAGTGTTGTGGCAATGCCGGTATGAATGAGCGCACTGCGTCAGCCAGCAATGTTTGCCGCGAAGCCTACCTTGCGTTCTGATCTCCGGTTCAGGCATCGGGGTCCACGCTTCCTTTCTCCCGAATTTGGCCGAAAATCGCTTGACATTGATAGCGTTGCCGTCAGCCCCGGCGCCTCGCGATGTATCACGAGCCTTGTTTTCACCAGCTACCCCTTCGCAGCCTTTTCCGCTTCCGCTGCCGCACCCCAGCGAGAAGAACACGTTCCGCGTTTCTCGCTCCATCTGGTCAAATGCCGTGGTACGGTTGTAAGGAACGAAGAACCGGTATTGACGACGGGCCGGACGAAGTGCATCGCTTAGATATGGACTCTACTCCGCCGCGGGAAAATGGACCAGTGAGCGCGCCATACGTTGCGATGAATCTGCTCGAAGCATGTATGTACTCCCAGTAGGCCGAGTCGGGCACAATATACGCAAGCGTTGCGGATTGCGACCGCCGAGCATCTTTAATCCACAAGGGACAGCTTGTCAAATGGCCACGTCTCTCCCTGTGAATATATTTTGTTCTTGATCGATAGCTATTAGACTTGAAGCGTGGTGACTGGACTGCCGGCCAAGAGCATACGACAGCTCCAATAAATGTACGCAATCGAGTACGGAGTTACCACACACGTGCGAGCCTCAGTAGACTTCCGCGGGAGAAAACTTGACGCTCACCACCCTTCGCACTCGAAAATAATAGCGTTAACCTTCTTCGAAGACGATCCTGTGGTACTGTTTCCACTTACCTTCCTGAAGCGATGGAAGTTATTGTAAGGCCTTCTGCGCTCTTGCCCGGGGACCCTGACCACCGATCCCACCGCCACATCCCGGCGTCTCTCCCCCCCACCGCCCGCGACGGAGCGAGCCTTTCTTGACCTAATGCACGAAGCGGGTTCTGAGGTGTTCTCAGGCGACCTCACCCGGGACAGCGTATCATCGTCTCTGGTTCTGGTCGTACCATTTTCGGCACCGCCCCCGCTTGTATCATGTTGTGGATGATACTGTTCTTGCTGCCTCCTTATTTTCCCTTGCTCATCATGACGGCGGTCTACATTGTCTTCCGTTCCTCGAGGGAGCGTAGACTCGCCAGTGGTTGCCTGGTACATGTTCGAGGGCAAGATACAGTATTACGGAGAGGAACGCACGAAAACCATCGTAAGGCTGGAAAAGGCGGCACGGAGGTGACCAGCACTCTTCTTGTTAATGATATCCGTGAGAACATATTTGTCTCGGGACTGCTGGGGTTGTGAGGCCACGTTAGACATGAGCACGTGCAAGGATTCTGGTCGCTTCGTCCCGACGCACAATTTTATTTTGAACCGAACCATGCAACAGAGTTGGTTTTTGAAGAAACCGCTCCGACACACGCCTGGTGCTGGCTGTCACTAGTGACGACAAGGTGAAAGCCGGTCTGGTTGAATTCACTTGCTGGCATACGCGGCTGCTGACTTGATAGCACTATTTGTGCAATTCTAGTTGTGTGTGACTGGTAGACAACTGCGCATTTTTCTGCACACACGACACGGACGAAGAATTGTGTTGAGGGGTAGGTCGGTTATCACATAGAGGAGCCTCTGGCGGCTGGCCTAATGGCGTCCTATGCTGTAACCGGCATCCTTGAAACTGATGATTCTGGGATGTCTCCTGACGAGCCAAAATGCGACTCGGAAACCTGTCGCCTCATCCGTTGTGTTGTACTTTGTCCTCCCCAACCCTACGTTAGGTCTACATACGTGCTTACTCGGAGATGTTCTTCTCTATGGAGCAGGGCGTCAATCGCCGGGGACAGATCAAGTCCGAGCCCCTCTCCCATCCTCGCCATCAGCACCCGCCGTCGTCCGACTGGATCGGTCGCGGTTGTGCTGCCCTGGCGTTGTCCACCATCGTGCACCCCCGTATCGACATCATCACCCTGCTACGTGGGAGGGGATAGATCGTCGAGCGCTCCTTCGTCAGTATCGACTTCTTTCTACAGCGTCAAGACCCTCTCTAGCGTCAAGAAATACTCCATAAGTCTACAAGAGTATCCTCCAACCGGAAGGTTGTGTTGTTGTTGATTCAAGTGATCCCACCACAGGTGGCACGCAGACCGCTTTCCCGTGTGCCAACAAACAAGGAATCAAAACCTTTCTTACACGGCGTAACACCAACGAGACAGTAATTTCGCACCAATCCTGTTGTCCGGGCTCCGCAGTGACTATCACCACCACCGCATCCCCCACCCGTAGCCTCCCCGCCGATACAAGTGGCGTTGCCGACCAACACCGATGGGTCATTATCCTTCGTCCTCCCGAGCCTTTCCGAGGTGGCAGAAGAAACTCGAATCGCTCTGGTGGATTGCGGTGGGGCAAAGCGCGGCTTCTCCGCCGGCTGTGGTCGACGGGGAAACGGAACGGCCCTCTTGCAAGGAGTGGTCGTCGCCTCTGCGGAATAGGTTTTCGTTTTCCGTCGTGCACGGCAAGAGGGTAAAGCGATAGCTGAGCAGATTGTGTAGACGACTTCTCACGCATTCACAAATAATTGTAGTCTGAAAAATCATGGCACCGCGTTGCACGATGGACTCAGCCGACACTCGCCCTTCTCCTCCCTGATAGCCTGGGGCGGTTGACATGACGGGCACCGCTTGTCACACACTTAGACTACCTCATGATGCATTTTTCGTACTATCGTGACTCACCTCTTCATTTTTGGGAACGTACCCGCTGCAGTGCTGTTTATCACCCACGACCGCTTACCTCTGTTATTACCCTGGGGCAGACGCCGCCTTGATGATCTTCTCTCTGATGCATACCCGGCGGCAGCCTATCGAAAACCACCAGCCGCGTCGATGGAGTAGTGGTACCGAAGCACGGACACACGGTGTACGGTAGCGAATACATAAAGTGGGGGAGGTGACGTGGCAAAGAAAATGACCACGTGTATCCGCCACGGGGGCTATATCGTCAAGACGCTGCGCAACAGAGCTCTATGGTCTTCACACTCGGCAGAATGCTGTTCAGCTGACACCACACTCGAAACGGATGGTGTGTAAGGTGGCAGGGAGATTGGTTGCCGCGCTCTATGCAGGGGGGTGTCACGTTGGGCCACTTACTACAGCAGTGGTTCGGGTTCCGCTCTTACTTCTGCCGCCGCCGCCGCTTGCTTGTGAGAACTCCTGACGGACATACCGTCGAAGTCGTCGGCTGTGTGCATCCCGTTCATCACGAACTCGCTCCCTCGATCTATCCGGCTTTCAAGAAAGGGCCGGGGGAAGCAAAGGCAACATGGGTGCCAGGAAACGAGGAACCGATGGAGAGGGGCCCCTAGGAGCAACCTCGGGGTATCGGCACCATAGGCTGGGTTGGGACGAAGGTGTCGGTGTGTCCATGCAGATGCACTACTATTACATGTGCGCTTGGCGAGAAATTACGTGCCGAAGCAGGGGAAGTCGTGCCTCAACATTGGTGGTGCGAGGTGGAGATATCTCAGGAATGCCGGCACGAGGTTTGAGAGCAATCGCTTGGATTGGCCGTGTGTTTGTAGGCAATCCTAGGGGAGGTTAGGTCTTCGACATCGTAGAGCGTAGGTGTGGTAGGAGCTCACTTTTCGTCCCTGATAAGGATGTGCTTGTCCTCCACGAACGCCTGCAGTAGACCAGTGGAGTGCTGGTACCCGTGCCGAACGTTGAATCTGGTTCAGTAGACGAGACCCGATCAAGCCCAAACGTGTGGATAGTAAGCAGCATCGTCGACAAACTGCCTTGCGAGGCTGACGAGTAGGCACGCCCACTTCAAAGGCTATTCAATCCTGTAGATTGTAGAAGTACCTATTTAGCTGTAGCTATAAGGTGATGTTACGTCGACCTCATGGGCGCTCAGGATTCAAGCAGAGGCACGGGAGACCCTTATCCCGAGAGAAAGCTTTCATTGTTGATACTCTACCCACTTCAAAAGGCTATTCAATCCTGGAGACTGTAGCTTTTTTTTAGCTCATGGGCGCTCAGGATTCAAGCAAAGGCACGAAACACCCCTATCCGGAGAAAAAGCTTTCATTGTTTGATACTCTACAACGAAAACGTTGGCCTGAGCACAAGTGTCTGCCCGTTTCTTCTGGCGAGAGAAAGAGGGTCCAAAGGCAGGATCATACATGCCTGGTGGCCAAGCAGTTGCCGACCTCTACCACCTCTGGCCCTGCCCTGTTCGACGCTGCCAGCACGGTGAACGTCTGTCTGCAGCGCGCGGCGGTTGCTTCGCCGATGCTCCACTTCCCCGGGCTCCACGCGATAAACTCGCCGCAGTGCACGTGCTTCAAGAAGCGATGTTGGACGCTCTTCGGACGCACTCGGACGAGCACCTCGCTCTGAAACCTGTCGAGGGTTGTAGCAAGACCGGCGCGGCACCAGCCACGTATCGGGTGTGTGGTCAGCCCAGTGCAAAACGTGTCAGGTATCTCTTCCCCACCTACAAGAACAAGACCAGAAGAGGTACATTTGCGTCCCTTTCGTCGCCAAGAGCGCTGGCTGTGCTGAGATCTGTGGCCCATTTGTCGGTGAGTCTGGCCGAGAACGTCAGCAACACCTGTAACGTGTACTCTCCTGGGGGTCTTCGGGCGTTGCAGCGTCTTCGAGCTGATGTCCGCTGCGCTCTGGACGCTGCGTCTCACCCCGAGCAGCTCGTTGACAGGAAACTTACCCACGCACAAAGCGGAGGCACGGACATTGCAGAGAAATAAAAGCACAGGGCACCAAGAGGAATTGATGTGCCAGCTGCGTTAACAAGAGAAGAGTCCCGACGGTGTGCTGCAAGCAGAACCTATTAGGGGGGAGCAATGTGTTTCTGCAAGATAGGTTAAGATTTTCTCAGCTGTGCGAGCCTGGATCGAGCTCGCTTAAAAGACGAACTTGCAATGCACCCTCACGGATGTACTTTGGTTTTCTACGAGACCGAGGCGTGCGGCTCGAAGTACCTTTTGCTCACAACCGTGACCCTGGCCACCGGCCGCATCGGCCAGAATCGCGGCAGCAACCCCTCCCATTCCACCGCAGCTCTTCTGGATCCCCACGTTTCCTTCCGCTACCCACCGGTCCGTCTTGAAATTAAACACATAGAAGTCCCCGGTGGCCGAGTCAAGCACAACTTCTTTTGCCTGAGGTTTTAGTTGCGCGAGTTTTGCCAACGAAAGGGGACGAAAGACACAGTGGGGTGCGACAGGAGTCAGAGCTTACGCCAAGTTCATGCCGAGGGGTGGCTAGTCGGGAATACGCGTGTTTGGGCTGGAAGGTGGTTGGGCTCGCTCATTTTGCGGTTCGTGACAGCAGGAAATGCTTTCAAGGCGTGCGGTGGACCGCCGACGGACAAAGGAAAAGTTTTCTCCCCGCGAGATCAGGAAGCCATGTGTTCAAGAACGCGAGCACGCCTTGGGACAGAATTTTTGGTGCGCTAGGTCGTGATACCGACGTTCGACGTATCTTGGAATGTGGTAGGGAGAGAAATGTCGGAGCCCCTCGATGCTCCACATGGCGTGCCCACTCTCTCTCCTCTGTGTGTGGTCAGCATACGCGGGGTGTGAGTCGGCTATATATGTCTTCCCTTCAAGCTGGGTCCGTGTGATTATCCGTGTCCACACGACAAGCCGAGCAGTGAAACACAGTCACAGATGAAGAATAAAAGCATTCCTGTACAACGCCTTGGTATTCGTAACCACGCATTCAGGTCTTGCCGACAACGTTGTCAAGCTCGGCACAACACGTCGGTGGGCATGCACCTCGACAAGTCACATCGCGTCGCGTTGATGTGCAGAAACAGGAGCGTTGCCTATGAGAGTTCGAGTCACGCAACCACGCGACCACCAGAACTATTTTGGGACTTGCAGACGGCGGACGGCAGGCAGGAAAGGTCCTTTTCGGCGGGGGCGAGCCTCCAGGCGACATTCTTATCTTATGTGCTTGTGCGACTCTCTTACCGGCAAGCACGCCGGAATTCACTGCCACCCTTTCACGATGCACTATATCCAGAAGTTTTCTCGAGTACTTCTGTCGTTTCACGCCAGACAAATAAAACAAAGGTTTCTATATCCCAGGCGAAGTTAAGTGCGATGGGATGGTTTGACTCTACAGCCTGCTATAGGTAGCCCAACACTGATGGTTTCAAGAGTGATAACTCAACAAATAGACCTTAACTCACCTCTCCACCACACATTGGCTTGCCGCTGCCTCCTAAATCTTCGGGGCGCAGCGAAGATAGCTCGAGTAGGCTACCACCATTCCCGCCACCGTTTAAGACTCTCAGGGGCTTGCCGCCCGTGGCACACACGTAGGACACTATGTGTGCTCCGGGGCCCGCGGCGAAGAGGCACTTCTTCGCTCCGATGACGGTTCGGAGAAACAGAACAAGCTGCCGAAAAAGCCAGGTTTGTTGAATTCGGCGCAGGAAGTTACAAACAAGTTCGTCGGTGCCTCGTCGGTGTGCAATATGCATGTAAGCCTTAACCTCGCAGGGGGGTGGGGATGGAATCGGAGGGGACGAGGGGGGGGGGCAAACCTCGCGTGTAATTGCGCACTAACTGCTGTGGTGACGCCCTCACAGATTGTCTCCCAGTTGAAATTTGCGACAAGCTTGTCACCGTAGGGCACATAAAGCTCAAGTGTAGGAAAGGTCTGAACTCATCTTCCACATGGGTGGCTGCATGTTCTTGTAAATCAATACATGGCACGGTTGTTCGTCTCCGATTGGTATGGGTTAGTGCTGCAATGCTCAACCTCACTGATGTAGACAGGGCAGCGCTGTAAATGTTTCTAGTCATCTCGCTAGAAGTCCACACCCGTGTTTTTTCAGTGTTGTTCTACTTCGAAATGGCATCCCTCGGGGTGAGGCATGACTCTGCATGCGTAGAACGCGATCATATGTAGATATGTGTCACCTTGGTCTTAAACGTTTCATGTGGAAACTTGTCGTGGACTTTTGTCTGCTCCGTTTGCGCTCCCTTCGAGTTTACCTCAAGTTAACGCAAAAGTTAGTCGCCTTTCTTTGATTGTAAATTTTCTAAAAAAAATATTCGCATCTATAAAAAAAAACGTTGATATGGTTCCTTTGCGAGAAGCAGAGACTACCGCTGTAGAGGTCTTCAAGTTGAACGCGCCAGGCTGCAAAACTAGAGCAGTATTGAACGTGGAGTAATGCCATTTTTATTTTTTTTTGTCTTCACTTCAAATCAGCGCCCACAGCACTAGTGCCGTTTACTCCAACCTGTGGTCGCACAGAAGAGCCCCTCTCTACTTCTCTACCGTCCCCTCCTGCGGCACTTTGCCTTCGATTTTTAATGCGAGAAGAGTTCAGCACTCTCTTCCCTCTGTGTACAACACACGAACTAGCGCTATCCACGTCCCCCCCAACGCTGCACCATTGCACCAACCCCCCAGTAGTAGTGATTTCGTACCACTACAATGTATCGCTGGTTGGTGGCCATGTTTGCGTGTTTGCTTGTTCGTTAGTGGTCTCTCCACCGTGTGCCTTGTTCTGCCTCATACTTCCTGTTATTTTCGGCCTGGTCCCTCTTTGTCCTCGCCCTTTTTTTCATTTTTTCATTTTATTTTCATTTATTTTCTCTTCTCCTTACGGTTTCCATTTTTATTTTTTCTCCTTTTTTTTCTCTTTGTCATTTTTTTCTCTCTCTTTTTTCTCTCTTTTTCTGTGCCAGATGGACTTGTCTCTGCTTGCGTTGTGAAGTACCAAGATTGAACCAAGGGAGTGTGCCTCTTTCTCTCCGGCCCATGATAGATAGTGACTGCTAATCTCAGTTGATACCCCGCATAGCGTGAAGAGGGAGCGGAGGATCCCAGAATATCTGTCGTTGATTTCTATGGACTTGCGGACCCCTCGGGGCCAGTTTATTTGAGTGTACCTTTTTAGGGTAAGTTAACCTGTGACCACGGGAATCGACCGCGTCGAGTGTTGGATGAGTACGGACATACGAAGGTACTGGGTAGAGAGAGATCGGAACGGTTTTTAATGTGAAGACAACAACAACAACAACAACAACAACTAGGCCAGGAGCGAAAGCGAGACAAAAACTCACTTTGCAAGAAAAGCTCGCTTACGCCGGGATTCGAACCCCTGACCTGACCTCTAGAAGGTTTCGAGGCTACCAACTGGACCACCGGGGCGACCGGCGCCATTCCATACTCCGCTTCGGATTGGCCTCCATGACAATCCAGAGGAACGAGCCAATAGTCTAAGTCAGAAATGTATACACACATCAAGAGGAGATCTTGAGCATGACCCCGCGCGTCGATTTGTTTTCGTTGAAAAGGTCGGTGACATGGAAAACGAGTACAGACTGCAAGCGTGACATAGTCTATAATAGGGGCCCAAAAAACAATGTTTGTTCATATCCTCATGAAACAAGAGCTCACCTTGCGCGTGCGAGGGTGCCAGGGCAGGAGACGGCTATCTCCATCAACAAAAACGAAGTCAAGCTTATCCACTTCTGCGATAGCTGCCTTCGACGACGAGCAAGAATCCTCATTGTCATAGCAGAGATCCTGTCATGGAGGGGAGGCGGCGATCGGGCCATCGCGCCTTGAGCCAACCGTCTACAGTACCTGAACCATCAGACACCATTTGTAGGATGAAAGCTATTCTCCTCCTTGCTTTATGTAGCACATCTAGACTTCGCAGAACAACTTCAGGGGAAGCTATCCGATGCACGTGTCAGCTCCCCCCTCCCTCCCCCCCGCAACTCCATACCTGGAGCCCATTACTGAAGTGACGAGCAACAAACTCTGTCCTGCCTTGCTCGAACCTCTCGACCACCTGGAAGGCCCTTCGGACGATCTCTTCAAATTTCGCGAACGAATGGCGTCCTGAGCGTGACCCTGAGAACGCATCGACAATCAGAACCTTCATGGCCGAACGGCGACCTCCAAGGACACAGCAGTGGGAGGAAGTGGGGAAGTGAGGACGGCAAAGGCGTGAAGCGGTGGAATGACAAAAAGAGAGAGTTGTTGCTGTTCGGTTTGAGGTCGGGCCGACTTGTGACGCTTCGCATACACTTGAGAAGTCGGCCCGATTGCGCCGACAGCGGGTAAGAGCCGTGCAGAGCTTGTAGAAGCCAGATACGCATACCCTAAAACACGGAGAGCCTCTTTCCCCACGGAGCCAGTACCCACCAAATGCCGTGCTTTCGATGGGACCAGTGGCAGATAAGGAGGGCTGTACAGGAAGGCGGGCGCGTGCGATGACACAGTGGTTGTTCAGGCCGTACTGGAAACGTGTCCGGTAAGCCACTGACAGCCAGACAGCCAGCAGTATCCTTGAACGAGTTCAGGTCAAACCCTGCATATCATCTTTAGTCGTTCACCACCAAGAGCTTGGCCAATGCAGTCTGCATCATCGACGAAAGAATGTGCTTGAGGACCCCAACATCGATCGAACGTTTGAGATTTGCACATTGCTCTTGCTTATTGTTGTGTGCACATACATGGAGGCGTTCGCTCTTGCAGCACACATGTGATCGGAAGTGCCATTTCGACCCCTTCGAAGCCCAGCTCGGTCTCATCACCACCTCCTGCTCTCACTCTGCCCAACGGACGTGTACGCGTTGGGTGGTGGACAGGATACTACTTGGGGATCGCGTATATGTGTCAAGCTCGTCGCATGGGGCACGAGACAAACATTACAACAGCGGCCGCTTGCGCTTTTGGGGCAAGGTAAAGCATAGCACTATAAAATGCATACCTGGTACAATCCTAGACTGTATATGCAGGGACCATTGCAAGGTAAGTAGATTACGTGACTGCTGTGACACAGCACAGGCGACACCTTCAGAAGCAAGCAAATGACGTTAAAATGGCACCTTCATGTTTTGGATACACACCACGTTTGTTTATAGATTCGGCCACATGCAGCAAGGCGTCAGCAAGGTCATGACACGCCCGTTTTGACACTATCCCGATAACGTTTCTGCAGATCCACTGTGCCAGGGGATACTGGGCTGGAGTTGAGCTCGACTTTCCACGGGGTCAGGCAAGTTTTTTCGCACTTGGCTATTGCAGAGCACGCAATGAAACTTGCTACCGGGAGAGGGGAGAGAAGGAGACAAGATATTGTTGGTCAAGGTCGTTGTCATGGAATTGTCGGTGGATAAAATCCTTAGGCTGTGTATGGCGCCAGCCATGATTTGAAACTTCAGCATCTGTTGTCGATGAGTCTCCTGTTGTTTTAAATGTTTGATCTCTGCTCCTGGTGGCAAGAGGACAGTGCCGAGCCGCATGACGCCGGAGCCGTGCTGCGCGACTAAATAGCGGAAACCACACACGATGTTGAAGGCAGCAATGTTGATACGTAGTGCTTTTTGTATCATGCCGGTGCGATCCAGCCGATTCACGGGAACTATAACGGACAACTGGCATTATTCGGAAAATGAAACCACTTGAATATTTCATCTGTGTTAGACGATTTCACCCACTACTGTATCCATTGACCTGGCACCGACACCGTTTTTTTTTTACAAAGACACAAGGCAGCATTCGTGACATTTCCACCCGGACCATAACGATTTTAAGTAATGAACAACTTCCTCCCGGCGCTTTTAAACAGAACGATGGAAGTCTAGATGGACATCGATACTTCCTGTGCCACCCCAACCGAGGGTTATTCGTGCGGATCACACGGTGTCGAACCCGCACCGGGCACGGCGTGGAGGACGCACGGCACGCATCGTTCTCGGCACGAACACTGGGGGGAAAGACTGATGATGACTGGAGTTCCAGGCCCTCGAACCAGATCGGGCCAAACACCGTCGACGCTCGCACCGTGAGAAGGGCGTCGTCGCCTCCGTACCTCTCGGATATTCTCCGGTGGAGAAGTGCATACATAGGTTCGAGCGGCACCTGTCGACCGCGGCGTAAACAGTATCGTGCCGATGCACAACTAAACACAAAAAAGTGGGTACCTGCCGATACTTCGGGGAGTGGTCGCCGAGAACCCCGATGTCACGACAGTGGCGCTCGACGTGCGGACACCCAGCACAACAATATCGCACCGGAGAGTACATCATCCGGCAGCAGTACCTCGTCGGAAGCTGATCCGTTGGAGGTATAGTTAGCGAGTGGTGTTTCGAGATGTTGGTCGAATTCATTGCTACACGGACGGAGTGTTTCATCATTTGTGACATGGTGGCGCTAACACTACTACATGAAACGCGTAGAAAATATGGAAACGATATTGTTTTGCTTTTTCCTCCAAAAAAGAATGAACGGAGTGGGATGAGTTGAATAGTTTTCACGGTCGAGCTACGTGCGCCGAAGCAACCGGCTTCTCGCGAGCTCTGCGGAGAGTTCGACGTGTGTTTGAAGAACCCTCACTCGGCGAAGGCTAAGGCTAACTTTTCTGTGCTTTCCTTTACAACACCTTTCGAGAAACACAAGATGGATCTGGACCAAGTGCTGGATCGAGTGCTCGCCGCGTCTGCAATCCGCACGGAGGACGCGGTTGTCGCACCAGCTGCCGAGCTTGCCAAGATCAACCAAAGTACAAACGTACACGAAGCACAGGCGGAAAAACGGCGCCAGATCTTGATAGAGAGCTACACCCATTGGTCAAGAAACCGCGAACGACACCGTCGTCGAGATCAAGGGAAACTGTGGGTAGAAAACCATTTGTCTGATCATTTATCGACGCGGGGGACGGCTGAGGCGGCTCTGGTCACACGAAGGGCAGCTGGCACTTTGAAAGGAAAGGAGCCTGTTTCACCTACGGGGGCGCTTGCAGTTGCCTCAGAAAGTCGCGATCGGTGGATCGTTAGAAGAGGCGTGCAAACGACCTCCGTACGATGGCCACGGGATGGTGGCAACGGCTGCGCCCTTGGTTCGGTTTCGCCGGGGGGTGGCTCGAGACAGTTATTGGTTTCTCGGGACCTTCGTCGAGCTCGCCTCCTCATGAGAGCACAAGGAAAGCTGGATCTGCTGCACGGTGCAAGCCTCTGGAGAGAGGCCACCTTGTGTCGAGAACGATTTTTTGTGTTGAGAGACAGGTCCTTATCCCACAGATCTTGTGTGGTTCACGTTCTTCCCGCTGAACCAGAGCCCCCTTCGACACCAGAAGACGTTTCCACCGAGCGTGCACTTGCGGTTGTGACAACAGCCACTGCTGGACATGCTCAGTCTACCGCCGTTCGCCCTGTCCGCGCACCCGGGGTCGGAATTGACGTAGGTGTTCGCGCTGGGCCGGTCAGCGGCATTCTGCAAACACCCTCCCAGCATATCGTGGGGGTAGCCAATCCAAGCAGGCCATTCGCGCCTCTGGCGAGGAGAGCTGCCGTATTTCCACGAGAACGGCGAGCAGGCCGCGAGCAAGAAGCCGAACACCGCGGGACAGGTTTGTCACTCGTCGACGTGCAGCGCGCGAGAAATATGGGTGGTACGCGCCGACATTCACCAGAGCCGACCAAGATCTCCGCTGCCGAGGAACCGCTCGACGGGAGTGGCGGTAACGCGGGAACCAACTGGGGCGAAAGTGACGTGGGTTCATCCCGTCGAGACATCATGATCCGGACGCAACCGACTGCCCCGAGAATCGGAGTCGCCCATGAAGCCGTCTGCGGCTCAGCACCAACAGCATTTGTGCTAAGCTTTGGGGTGTCTAGAAGACCGCAGTCGGGTGCCGTGAGTCATGGGTCGACGCTGGGCTTGGCGGAACAACCCCACCTTGGAAACTCCGTGGACGGAGAGAAGCAGGAGGCGGTAAAAGTTTTGCTTCGGGGACGAGAAGAGCCCTCAGGAGATGAGACCAACGACGTCGCTGCTGGGGCTTTGATTGAAGCCGGAAAGCCAGCAGTGAATACGCTAGCACCGTCTCCGATCCACACGACTGACTTCGATCGACAAATTGTTCCCTACCTCGGGAACGGAGGCGCCGCGGTTTGCAGAACAGAGCGCGCGACGGTTCAGACCGTCGATATTGTCTTCCCCGCTGAGGCGCGCTCCTCACTTTCGCAGGATGGGGCGACCCCACCGCAACCAAACTTGGACCTCAAATGCCATCGCGGTGGCGGTCACGGCGGGAACAGTAGCGATGGGCCTTCTGTGCGCTACGAGATGAAGGCGCAAGCTAATGACGGCGATGTTTCGAGGGAATCTTCCCCGGGAGCTTGCATCCGTAAGAGACAAGCCGACCGAAGGGTATCTTCCTTGCTTCGTCGGTGTCACCCACCGCCTCGGGCCCCTTCAGTCAAAGGAGCGACCGTGCGTGGTGGCTCTGGACGGATCGAAGGCGAGGGCCCGGATGTTGAGAACAGAATAGTTTCGTGTTCTTTCGGACGGTCTGTCGTGAAAAACGTAGCAAGCGAAATCGAAAAAAGAGTTCCAGCAGTAGGCGGGAACCCCCCCCTCTGGGGAAAGGGTGACGCCCTAGGACCGGAGAAGTCGAGCAAAGGGGAGGGCAGCGCGCAAGCCGACACGTGTCAACGCCAACACGTTCTCGGTCCAACAGGATCAGCGCCTGCTGGCACGAGGCTCTGCCTACCGAGTAGACAGGAAAGCACGGGCACGTGTCCCAACGCTGCGAAAGTGCTTCAAGCGACGAAACCGCTAAAGGGTTCGTGTTTTCCAGAAAAGCAGGAGGGCTACGGAGAGGGTGTTGTATCAACAGAGTCGCGAACTCTGAGAGTATCCTCACCGCAGATTGCGGCAGCCTGCACTAGGGACGTCGTATGCGTTGATGACCAGCCGGATGACAAGGTTCTGGCAAGTTTAGTAGGAAAGCCTGCTAGCAAGAGGTCCGGAAGACGGGACGCAGGCGGACGCACGACCCTCCCCCGTACCGTGTCCGGCGAGTACCTTGGGCACAACGCGAGTGACAGGCAGCCGGAAGATGGCACTCTGGTCCCACTGGAGGGGCACGGCAGGGACATCGGCGAGCCTCGGATGCCTGCGTGGCGAGGTAACGCCGCAGGGCCTCCGGCAGAGGAATCGCGAGCCCGGTCAGCTCTCCAAGAAGTACCACGACGTCCGTTGGACGCGATTACCGTCACAGCAGGCGGTAGTGACGGCCCTGGTCCGTCGACGTCTCCTTCGTCCCCCTGTCTGCTATTGCCGCTGCCTTGCACACCAAGCCTCCTGCATCTTGAGGCAACAGGAGAGGCGGTCGTGCATGGCAACAGACGCGAGAAAGGGGAGGTGTGTCCGGCTGAGCCGATGGTGCCAGCGGTGCCTCTTGGAGGCGCCATCCTGGAGGGCTCAACGACGAGGACTGTACCAACTGGTCCACTTGCTACGTCGTCGGCTGCAGGGTTTTCCAGACAACCGGCGTCATCCGAAGCGCTGCCGCTCTCCCCGCCGGCTCTCCGATCGAAGCAGCCCATCTTTGCAGCTGTCGGCGTCGGTGTTGAGTTGGCGTCTAGGGCGGGGTTAGACTCTAGTGTCGAGCTGTTATCGCCGCGTACGACAGACAAGGATGCATCATCTCCTCTGCCACCCCCTTTGGTCCACTACCGTAGGCCTTGTTGGTCCACGGGTGTGGATGCGGCCAGTCAGGCAGGCACAGATCGTGAAAATGCGGAGCACAGTTGTACAACGTAAGTGTATTGTTTGCGTGCAATGTCTGCCGTTGCTTGCATGTGGAGTGTCGATCACAGCGTTGTCAGAACGACTATAACCCCGTTTGCACAATCAACAACACCCCGTCGATACTGCTGAGTGCCATTATGTCAATCACATGAGAACGGCAATTCTTGCCGTCTCGAGACTCTGCAGCACTGCCACTCATGTACCGTCGGCCAGGAGGAGCCCAATCCTAACAGCCCCATACCCCCTGTTGTTGGTTCCCTCTGAAAATCTGGACGTGTGTGCTGCTGCCGTCTATATCCAGACCCGCGGCACCCCCGGACAAACATGCTCAGGGTGCGTCTGAGGCGGCAGCGGAAACGGCTCCCGTCATTGTGAAGCACGAACGGATCGCGAACAGCGCTATCGACGATCGTCAACCGTTACGAGAAGGCCAGCAGCACCAGCACCAGCAGCATGGCTTGGAACCGGCAATGGATCTCGGTTCTCACGTTGAACCTATCGCTCGGTCGAGCGACCAATCAAACGGCAGCAACTTCGCCAGGAAAGGGGGTCTGCAACGCCAACGGTACCCTCCGCCTCCCGGCCCACCGCCGTCGCCGATAAGGGCCCTAAGGCAAGGCAAGACGTCGCCAATGACGGCTAGCAGCTCACAATCACGGAGACATCGAGAGCGTTCGGCGCGCGAGCAGGACTGTGGGAGGCTGAAGAATCAGGTGGTAAGCAATGTGAAGCAATCAGTGATTGGGGTTTCTGATATAGCGTCAAAACCGGTCTCGAAGAGTAGCAAATACTTCGTCGCTTATTATGTATAGCACACGGGAGTTGAATGTATCGTTTCGACTCCGAATCACAACGTTTTTATAACGTCCGAAAACAGTGTTCGAGCAACGGTCACGATGACTCTCTCGCAGGTAGGCAGTGTCAAAAGGCCGTTCAGCACACTGATACTGTAGCACTCACGAGAGTGTCCTTTTCCAGCTCTTGCAGAGGACCATGGTGAAACCACGCCGAAGATCAGCGGCACCTACAGCTAGTTCTGCTGCAAAACGTCATCGCCAGCACTTGTCTTCCGTTTCCCTCTTTGACCGCCTTCCTCAACCAACCTGCGCTTTTCTGCTTCTTGCTTCCTGCTTCTGCTGCTAGGTCGCCGACGGCACCATCGCGATCTCACCTCCAACGACAACCGAAGACGAGGCCCACGACCTCTACTATCGCTCCCCTCGCCCTCGTAAAAATAAGGGCCGGTCAACGACGGCGGACAGCCAGGAGGATACTGCTCTCCTTGACCTAGCAGAGGTCGCGGTGAGCTGGTTACCCCCGCCCACTCCGCCCCCCCCAGAAGCACGACGCCGCCGCCGGCAGCGAGCGAGTATGCCGCCACCTTCCGCTTCGTCTCCATGCCCCAGTGATTGCAACGTCGAGGGCAGCACTGGAACACCACCATCACCACCACCACCCTGCCCTCGAAACGGTGGACCAGTCGGCGGCAAGAAGGACGGCTATGGGGAAGATTCCAACGAACACTCCTGGGCGTCCAAAGACAGCAGTCGCTGGGCTTATGGCCGTTGCCAAAGCGTCGCGCGCATTGATGGGACGCCCCCAAAAGACGGGTGCCGCGGTGAGATGCGACCGACTGGCGGCGCAACGGCGGCGACTGAGACCACCACCCCGGTCGAAGAGCACAAAGACACGGACGGGCGAAGAGGGGGGAGGGAGTCTTCGGGGGAACTGCAGGGCAACCGGAATCTCGAGGAACGTGGTGGTTGGGCCGGTAGCGACGAGGGGTCGGCGGCCAGGCGCCGAGCGGATGAAGTTCTAGCGAGGATCTCTGCCCTCGAAGTCTACTTCGACCGGGTCGAAGATCAAGTCGTGCGAACGGCGCCTGCGCCTGCAGCGGCTGAAGCCCAAGTACCCGGACGCGTGCCACTCAGCAAGGGAAGGAGTTCTGATGCTGCGGCGTCCAACAGTTGTTCGAACCCGACACTCGGCGTGGGCAATAGGGGTGAGGTCGAGAGGGAATGGGTCGGGAGTCGACAGCGCTTAAATTTTGAAAAATAAAAAGTTCCTGCGCACGCAGTGGATCATGGCGTGCCAGCTTCACTTCCGAAATACTTCGTCCGACTGTTATTCTGTAATGTTCTCTCGCTCCCACCCAAGGGCCTCAAACAAAACGCCCAGGATATCTGTAAGTCGACATCGACACTTTGTGGCTGCACCGACTTTCCACCTCAAGCAAAACACTGCCATTTCGAAAGTACGGGAGAGTAACCGTATGGAACGCCGGAATGTTACAGGGGAAACGGCGCTCGGTCTCGAAAGGGACTGTAGTATCCCAAATCATACGACAGATTAAGGCAATTAGGTCAGCGCGTACTCCCGCCCGCCCGTCCTCGCCACTGCCCCAACACCATATACTTTGTCACGACAGGAGGACAAGGAGAAATCTTGCTGGCAGAAGTTGAAACCGCACAAACCGAGGGTCAAACCGGCGGTGATTCTTCCAAGGCTCTCGCTCGCGGTGATCGGCCATCCTCCCCTCCTCCGCTGCCAAGGGATTCGCAAACCCGAACCCGCAAAAAAAAAGACGATGGCGAAGAAGAAGTACTATCAAGCGAAGAATATGCCGTCGCTAACTCTGGCCTGCGGACTTTGGCACCACGGCGATCAAACGACGCTGCTGCTGTTCCCCCGGCAATGCTCGAGTTGAGCCCTTCAAAAGCGGGACGCGGGACACTTTCCCGGGGCTTCGAAGTATGCGACGTCGGAAACGGCGCCGGCGTCAGCAGAGGCGGAAATGGCGAAAGCAGTAGTGGCGGGACTAATGAGCAACACAACAAGTTTTACTTCGATGTGGGAAGGACGATGGTGCTCGACACCTTCCAAAGAACAGCTGGCAGGTAGGGTGTGCCGGAGCGTCATCCCCAAGGGGGGTGCTAGGCGTGAACGCACGTCTTTCTTGTTGTTTGTTTGAACGCGATGCAATCCGATGCTCCTTATAGCGGTTTAGGTTTCGACTTTGTGGACCGCGGTTACTTGTTAACCCGGCAAGTTGCGTGCTTGCTACATACACTGGCGGTGGAGGTTTGAAAGGCGCTTAGAACATTTGTAGGGACAATCGAAACAGACACTCGTATTGGCTCCTCCTCAGGGATAAGCCGCAGCCAAAGGGAGACATCCACCCTGATGAGCGCAATGCCACGGTTGCGGTAACTGTGCGAGAGGAGTCAAGAGAGCGTAAGTTGGTCTCGTTGTAGAAAAGCACTCTGCGTACGTGCTTTTCGAGGTTGTCGACTGTGCAGAGCAAGTCCGCTATCGATCTGTTCATGTGCATAGGGCGCAGGTAAGTGTGTTCTGCCTCTTCCTTCCGTGGTTTTCCTCTGCATTCCAGCTTCTTGTAGTAAAAAAAGTGCGTGCTATTATAGAGTTAGACTGTATTGAAGTATTTTTGTAGATGTACCGTCGACTTCCTCGATGTTAAGCCTGTTGACAGATTATTGTACGTGATGCTGTAGAAAATCTCCGCACGCGTGTCCGTTCATGTTGGTGCGGCAGAAAAGTTCCGCTCTATTTTGTTGCTACCTCCGTAGGAGCCTGGACTCGTCAACACATGGTGAAACACACGAAAAACATGTATTTATTCTGGGAGTGGGAACGAACTGCTTCGACTTCAATGCCACCGGATAACAGAAAGCTTCTGTGAGGGACGACGACAAAAAAATGCATCATTTCAACTAGAGAACACTGCACGTATGTGGCGCCCCCGTCGCCAAGGCAGCCAGATGACTTGCCTCTTTATGTATGTAACATTTATTTCTGTAGCCTGCTGTAGTCAACACATTTATTTAGACCATCTCCCCTTTACACATGCACGAGAACCGCATGCCCAGAGGTATAAATACTGTTGTCATTGCTTTGTCTGGGCAGCGTTCTATGTAGACTATGCCTCCGGCGTTTGTTTGTTGTTGTTGTTGTTGTTGTGCGGAAAGAAGGCCATTTGGTTCCATGCCGCCAATCTTCCTCCTCCCCCGTCGCCTTTGTTTCCATCCATCACTCTCTTTTCTGCGTCCTCCTTCGTTAGACTACTTTTTTCTTTTACTTATTCTCCATGCCACCACCATCCTCCTTTTCGCCGGCATTATGCTGCTAAAATCCCAACCAATTGGCTGTGTAGTGTGTGGTGGACTATTATTATTGACGTCACGAGTTCGCTCTGACAGGAAACGAGCTAGCTCGCAGGTAAACGGTCTCCGAAATCTCTATTGGTTGCACAGTAGTAGTAGCCTTTAGGCGAAGAAAGGAAGAAAGACTGACTATTATATACAGTTAGCGCCCGCAATTAAGAAACGCTTATTTCAGGTCCTGCCTCGAATTCTTATTGTGGGATATAAACTCAGCGTATGTATGTCGTTCAGTTTCTTATTATATCATTTTTCTTATTTTTTCGTGCAGCCAAATCCTGCTGAATTTCTTCAATCGGCAATTTCTTATTTCTCTGCTTTCCTCGCCTCCCGTACTCAACCCCGATTCTCACTACCGACGGCTGCACGTAAGGCCACTCCCTAGAAGCGACATGTATTCAACGGCAACGTCTTGCTATCGCTACAAGGTCTTGTACCCCCCTCATGAGTGAGGGCTGAAACTAAACAAATGCATGAACACCGCATAATGCCTCACCCGCACGCTGACATGCCAACAACGAAAATCAGAGCTTTAGCGCCAGCAGAGCAGAGCGCAGAGCCCGCAGGGGGCCGGAGGGGGCGCCGCAAAAAAAAACACTCCCCCTCGGCGTACAACTAATAATAATGCACTATGGGAGGGGGGGGGGTAGGGGGAGAGGGGGAAAGAGCGAGAGAGCTGTGGGGTTTGTTTCTTATTCGACACACTCCCCCGTAACCCCTCGTTTCTTATGTAGTAGGGCAGCGGTCGCTGCTGTGTTTCTTATTGAGATATTTCTTAATTGTGTGACTCAGATTGAGCAATGTTTCTTAACCCTATTTTCTTATTTTTCGTGAAAAAGTGAGCCTCAATTTCTTAACAAAATATTTCTTAATAGCGGGCGCCAACCGTAATCAATCGTCGTGTTTCGTAGTACAGGGAAAGAAGAGTGGCGGTCGGTATAGCTACGATTGATTTCCGAATGGTATGCATGCATGCATATAGACGGTGCTTCTTTGCCAAGACCCAAGAAAATAATAGGTAGTAGGTGTATTATTATATTAGTAGTATTTAAAGGAGGGGAAGCCGTGGGCGGTAGCTTGCTCCTAGAGATAGATGAAGGTAGGTTCTGTCGTTGACACGCTTGTCCACGATCACGTTGAGATGAGAAAGTTGCTTGTTATTGCTGAGAGACGATCAGCAAGGGTCTGAGGTGAAGTGGGGATCCAACTTCACCTCAGGGGGTACGCAGACTAGACAAATCCTAAGAGGGTAGGTGTCTGAAGGGTATACCTCCTGGGACCGACCCACATCCTATCAACAATAAGATGTACCCTATTTAAGCTAGCAGCCACACTCCTTAACACTAGCCCACCCTGAATATCATATATGCAGATTCTATACTCAAATCAATGCTCAAATCCTAAAAGCTACAACGAAGATTTTAGCTGACGATTGATGCTCATGAATCGAAGACATGACTCTTCACAAAACATCCAAAAAGGAGGGTGAGTTGTAGAAACATCCCGAATCGACCCCCACACCATCATTGAGACGAAAGATGGATGCGAACGGCCACGAGACAACACATCGACATCTCAATGACAACGCTCCTACCAATGAAGGGATAAGGCCAAGAAAAATATGTAGTGCTGCACAGCACGCTATCCGCAACAGACGACGGCAAGAGAAACAAAGTCAAAACCTAAACGCCACACACCACTCTTTTACGCGCACCCGCGCGTATGACAATGGGAGGAATGAGGGCGACTACCCGAGAGAGCCCCAAAATACGGCAACAAAACTCAAAACCCAAGCAAATTTCCGAACGAATACGGCCTTTGATACTGGACGCGACGTAAAGGGGAAGATATCAACGCAACCAATCTAGGAAAGCGTCAAAGAAGGGCAGGAGAAATGAATGACAGGCGAACACACTGACAACAATTTCCAGCGTGTCAGAGAACTCAAACCGTATAGAGAGGCGGCCACGGCAAGACCTAAAGAAAACCAAGAATGCAAAGCATGAATGATCAACGTCTGAGAAGCGATCTGACGAACTTGCCCTGGCTCGCTGGCAACGCACAACACAGAAAGACTCAAACAACACAGAAAAGTCGCAGAGATACACACAACAACACAACGACTCAAGGGCTCGACGATGATGAAGGCGTCGCCTGCAGGTAGCGATGACGGAGACGAAGTAGAACGAAGTGTGGATGACGACGAATGTCCACGGGAGAAGACGACGCCACGGGATGGAAGCCCGAGTAACAGGCCTAGATGACACTTCGGCGACACGGTGGAGCTAAAAAAAAAAAAAAGGAGTTGGCAAAAGGCGAACCAAGGGAAACACGAGAAACTCGGTGTTTGCCTGGTCAGAGGCGAACATACCGACGAAACTTGGGGAACTCGTTGTTTAAGTGTGCAGAGGCAAACAACCCCGACGAAACTTGGGGAACTCTTTTTCCAAGTGTTCAGAGGCAAAGAACACCGACGAAACTTGGGGAACTCTTGTTCCAAGTGTTCAGAGGCAAACCACACGGAGAAAACAAAAACAAAAAGAAAAAACAAGCAAACGAACAAACAAACAAACAAACAAACAAACAAACAAACAAACAAACAAAATCCAAGATAGACCAACTCGAACCTAAAACGGCGACGCTAGGAAGAGATATTGGGAACAGCCGACGGTAAGGAGTCAGTAATGGGAGGAGTGCGATCCCGGGCGTCGCCCAAAGGGCGCGAGCGATGTTTTTCTAAACACCACGATCCACAGACGGCGTCCAAGGCGGTGGAGTAGAGGTGCGCAGGCAGAGGGAGAACGCTGGGGCCCGGGTCATCCAGAAATCGAACGATGCACGAGCCGTCCTGATGAGCACCAATACGTCCTGTCCACCATAATCCGTCGCGGGCCTTGTACCACAGCCGCGCTCCCACTGGAAGGGGCGAAATGCTGAAGCGACGGAGCCAAGTCGCGTGAAGCACAAGGTCAGCCCCAGGAGGCAAATAGCGTTCGCCACGATTCCGGGCTAGCTCCCGTTGTGCCGCGCGTGTCCGAGCCACTCGATACGTGCGGTTACCCTGCTTCCTTTGGCAGACCTCTCGAGACCAGTACAAGAGGATGTGTCGACGGAATTGATCGAGGTCGGACTCCCGTTCCCAAGAAGGAGTAGTCAGGCCTAGCCAATGCGTCTGGTACAGGACAGCGAGAACGCCGCTACGGCCCCGCACCAATTGGTGTCCCGAAATGTAGTCGACCTCGAGGCGCCCGACAGGCACCGACACATCATCTGCGGTGACGTGAAACGGTGGACATTTATCGCCGAAAGAGTGCAGGACATAACGCGAAAGCTCAGCGGGTAGAGATTGGGGCAGGTCGTCCGTCTCGTATGGATTGCGACAGGGCTTGCAACGAAGGACAGATACGCGACATCGAGCTGCTGGGCCGGAAAGATCAGAAGGCAGGTCCAGGTAGAGGAGTTTACGCGCCAACGGGCTTCCATCTGGGGTGGCGTCGGCCGAAGCGGGACCCACCGCAAGAACTTTGTAAGGCCCCGTCCAGGAAAGCGCGAATTTGGCCTTGAGCACCTGTTGATCCGTGTCCTTCCGCACACCCTGTCGAATTGTAGCAGCCGTGTTGTAGACCCAAGCCCACCCGCCAACAGTAAATTGCGGGAGCTTGTGGATGGCGTCCAGCAGGGATGAATTACGGCGTTCGACTCGCGAGATCTTCAGGGCGTTGT